AACCTAAATGGTGAGTGTCCATAACAGAGCTCTTCATCTAAAGGACTACTACTACTACACTGAGACATGTGGTGGTGGTGTTGTAGGGTTAGATGGCCTTCTCTAAATACAGTAGTTCTTGAAAATAGTTTTTTAGGAATTTTATTGAGTCCTCAAAATATGTTAGTGAGAGAATATTATCACCATATTTTCATTTGCATAATAAATTTGAAACTTTCGAGGCCTTTTCCAGATATTTTAGTCTGGTTTTAATACGTTTGTAGCTTAGATTTACAATGGAAGCATACGTAATTGAGGAGTAATACTCTCAGTTCAGAGAAGTGCCCTGCCAATTTACTATTTGGTCTTCAATTTAATTTTTACTTACCTTGTTTTGATAAGCTGATGTTTAAAGGGGGTTTCTTATGGGTAATGTTTCCTTGTGCTTCGTTTGCCTGGTAGTGGTTTGCATGTAAGTGCTGAATCCATCTAACCCATTTTAGAAAGTGCTTTGAAATGTCTCTTCTTTGTGAGAATTAGGTATGTGTATATACATTTCTGTGTTAGGGATCAGCAAGAAAATAGGCCAAGATAATTTTTTTACCTTCAACTGATTTAAACTGAGTTTAGAGGAGCCACGCAGTTGCTGTTCTTGGTTTTGCAGAATGCAGATGGAAACCATGACCGATTGTAGTGGCACTGCAAAAGGGTTCTGTGTTCCCTCTGCAGTCCTTCTGCAAGGGTGTGGTGCAGGACAGGGGGTGGCAGGTGGAATATGGAGCAACAAGGTACCAGAGTTTGAGGGAAGAAGGGCAGAAGGATGATAACCATGAGGTGTTTGGTTACAACTATTAATGCTTAGATTTTTTTGAGAATAGGGAAAAGATAATATGTTGTTCATGAGGCTGATGAGCTTCAGTCTTGCCTCTTTTTATTTACCTCGTGAGTTGTGAAGTTGGAAGGATGGAAATTCTGACTACCAGCTAGATCCTTGGTTTCAGCTGTGGGGCATTTTTTTCTCCTAAGAGTTCTAATAACAAAGTAGGTTGGTGTAGGAAGGTAAACCAGAGCTAACCTACTGTGCCTAAAATTAAGATAATACTGATATTGAGAGATTTGTGACATTCTGCTTGAATGAAATGGCTGTGTCCAGTTTTTAAAAAGCAGAGAATCATAACATGATACCAGATCATAGTAATTAGTAGGCAGGATTGCCAAGAGGATTAGTAAACAGAAGCATAAAAAAATCTTCCCTCTTTCATTTGTCAGAGATGTACTTTCATGAAAGTTTTTGAAGATTGTTGATAATTACAGAGAGATTTAGTCTGGATAAGCTCTTGAAACTTCAAATAGAAATTGGAATCTTACTGAATTCTGTTCACTCCTTCACCAACAGTACCTTCCCTGAGGTATTCAACATCTGCTTTCTATCTTGTTTATGTGGCCACTGGATTTGATACTAATGCTGCTACAATAAGATTGCCTAACCTGGGCATAAATATGAAATATATCAACTGAGAGTAATTGGTGTCACTGAGATTCTCATACGTGCCTCACTGGATTATGATCTGCTAATGTTTGTGAAAACAGGAGACATCATCATTGCGTGTTGAGATGAATTTCTTAAATGAGTGACTGAAGAGGTGGGAATTGAGGTCATTGGTTAGAATGGATTGGCTTTTAATTAGCATATTGATTAGTTCCTAATAATTACAGCTTTTATGCAAGAGACTTAACGTTGCTGTATGTTACATGAATTGATAAGCAGTAATAGAAGAAGGAAATCTCTGAACAACAAATTTAGACAAAAAATAGTATTATTCCCAAAGTTGGTTTTGTTTGTCAGTTTGTGAAGATGTGTGCCTGGAGTCTTCTGCAGCCAAACTTTGCTTTTATTGGGATAGTTAGTGTATGGACTGGTGATTTATACATGTTAAACCCTGTGTACATTTGTTTGAATTCATGTTGAATCGATAGCAGAAACAAATTGTTTTGATTCTTTCAGATAAAACCACAAAGTTCAAAATAAAGTGATATTTTTATTCCTTAGAAAAAAAATAAGCTTGAAGTTTTCCCCTCCCTTTAACTTGAAATAGGTGGAGCTTGTTGCTGGAACAGGTGATATTTCCTTTTCTATAAGCTACAAGTTCTTGTGGCCTAGGTTTTTGTTCTTTTGGGTTAGATCCAAGCATTTTTCAGGCTAAAATATAACACCACCAAAACAAAAGTTCTCAGTCAGACAAGCTCCCTTATCCAGTTTGACTCTTGAAAATATGAACATGAAGTGCCAGAGCAAGGGCACACAGGGTATTGAGTTTTTAGGGAGGTACTGGTCTTTTGTGGCAAGCTGTATTAGTATCAGGTTACAATGACTTTGAGCCAGGGCATGAAATATTGGCATTGCTATATAGTCAGAGGGAAACTGTAGATTGGCTAAAATGAGGCAGAAATTAAGGTTTTGCAGACCAGAGTACTCACATGAGTTAAGTTTAAGCGTGTCTTGAAAATTCCTTGTTTGCAGTATGCTACTTTATACTTACAGTAGCATAGAGTACTTAAGGTAATGTTGTACTATGTGTCTGAGAATTTAGCAAATGCTTTTCTAAGTGTCTCAAGCAAAATATTAATCAGTAGTATCTGAGTGTGAATTTCTTGAGAGCAAAGAATCTGAACATGCTGTCCAAATACTGAGTGATCAAAACTAGGAGGATATTTCTTGAGTGATCCATTATCTACAGAGTCTCTTGATTATGTATGATTATGACTGATTACAATTGATTATGCATACTGTATGCGTATTATGACTGCAAATCAGATTCTTTACTGAAAATTGACTTTGTAGAAATATCGCTTTATTACTAATACTTACAACCTGCATGTATTCAAAAGCATGTTTTTTAATAGTGATAAAATAACATGTATCATAAATAAGATACATTATTAAACTTCAAATACAGGGATAATCAATTATATTACTACAAGTTCTGCGAAAACAATTGAGTCATGTAAATCCCACATGAAGGCATAGCTTGAATGCCACTTTACTGCTGAAGGATCAGGAAGATCAAAATATTCAAATAGTAAAATAGGATAGAAATGGTTTGGCTTGCATGTGAGTATGTCAGAAGATAATTTAGCTTTTTTTCTGTCATTCTAAGGTGAGTTTGTAGGTCTGGGTGTCAGGTTTATTTTTTTTTTCCTCCCTATATTTAATTTGATAATCATTTGAAAATTATAAAAAAACACAGAGACCAGGTTTAAAGCTGATTCTTGGGCAGAAGAGCAGAATATTTGTATGTAGAGCAGTCTAATGAAAATTAAATTAAAATATAATAATTTCTGTTACTCTTACTTTCTATGACAGTTTTTTCCATTGAAGTGAAACGTTTTCACACACACAATAGAAGCAGTAATTTCAAAAAGGCTAGAGACTGTCCAGTAAGAGAACTACATGGTCAATAGTCTTTTTTCCTTCTAGAAGGCTGGTTAAAATGTCCTAAAGTATCGAAATACTAAGACTCCCATATGCTAAGTCAAGAGATTGTAAGTCTTCTGTTACACTGTGATTATAAATGTGATTTTTTTTTTTTTTTTTCCAGATAGAAAGTGTTTGACCTCTCCTAGAAACATTCATTTTTGATGTGTATATTTAACAAATGTAATTTAATCTCCTAGTTACAACTGGGGTCATAAAATTTTGTTTCACTGCAGTAATCTTACTGTTTTATTTTTTTAAGGACATTATTTGGAAAGCAGAAGGAAAGTGGGCCCAGATGCCTCTCAAAACCAAAATTTATTTGGCTCTTTTCTTAGTTGTTAAATGACAACATAAACATTGGTTAAACCCTGTGCTAGTTGTTGCCTTTCCTTAGTTTGACACCTGGAGAATTTTGGGGATACTGTATGGAATGATCAGAATAGCAAGGACAATGGCAGCTTGGGATATTTCATTGAGAAGATGCTGCATTCCTATTTTAACTTACTGGGAAAAGTTAGCTATATCATTGCACTTCCTTTTATGAAACAGTTTGGGTTTGTTTTTCTCATCTCTGAAAATAAGTTAAATATACTTACATTTTCTTCAGGATACTGATTCTACAGAGGAGCTGACCTTGTTATGGGCTAACGAGTTTTCAGATAGTGGTAGCGTATTTTCTGTTAAAAGCCTTGACAGTGTAACACAAAGATGTAATAATTTAGAACACTTACAGTTCTGCACTACTAGGTTCACATGTAAATCAGCTGGATTGTAAATATACCAGAAACTCCTGGTATCTGTGAGCTCTCATGAGGTGTGAACTTAATGCCATGTAGTAGTACTTCTGTAACTCTGGACGAATAATTATGCTCTTTTCTTCTGTTCCCCCAAGTATAGCAGCTTTAATTGGATTGGATACTTGAAATAGCAGTATCTGTAGAAGATTTACACTGGAGTATATTACGGAGTTGTCTTGCCTATTGCTGTCAACAGCTGCACTCTACACTAAGAAGCAATATAAAGAAAGTTTTACTGCATTCTCTTCTGAAAATGTCAGACAACTGAAATAATTTTAGCAGAATTGTTTAAAGTCTGACTGCGGAAATTATGTGGACTTCCTTGAGTTAAAGTTGCCCCTTTTTCTATGATTCAAGAGCCTACATTTGGGGGTTTTTCCTCCCCCCCTCTTTTTTTTTTTGTCCCGTCTGTGTCATGTCTCCCGCTCTTTCTCGTCTCCCCCTCCCTTTTTTTGGTCTTCCCTTCCTCCCCCCCCCCCCTTTTTTTTTTTCTTTTTTTCCTGTGCTTGGATAGTGTCAACAATTTCAGTGCCTAAAGATTTATTTCTAAAATTGTAGAAGACTTAAAATGATAGCAGTGAAATCCTGATTGTAGTTTCAGCTCTTACCATACAAAAAGCTTTGGATGCATATGACTTTACGAATTATCACCTTTATGTTTACAGTTTCTGTATGATGAATTGCAGTGGCAGTTGTAAACCAAAAATTTTTTAATACATTAAAATTGTTTCCTTCTGTCTTTGAAGGTTACAGAAAACAGATCAGACCTTGAAGATTTACACCTTTATGCAACTCCTCGAGAGCAACGGTTTCGTAGGTTTGCCAGTTTAGAATTTGAAGGACAGCTATATATGACTCCATATGACTTCATTCAGGCTGTCACAAATGATGAACCCAAATGTAAGCAGGAGTTTGATATTGATAAAATTGCTAGGGAGAATGCCAGTGGTGTATGTTGTTTTTCCATTTGCTTTTGATTACTACTTCTGTTAGATTGTTGTAAAAAGGTACTGCATCTTCCAGAATTTTATTTTCAATGGTATCCAAGTGTAACCAATCAATATCCTGATTGTTATTAGATTGTAAACATCTGTGTATTAGTCACTAGTTAAAAGCTCTTGTGTTAGAGGTCATAGACAGCTCAACAGGCATGAAAGACAAGAAGTTCCTGTGTACTGTTTGCATTGATGCTGTGTCCTGGGTTTGAGTGGGGGGTAGCGGTTTTTTTTTGGTAGCAGGGGAGGAGGATACAGGGCTGGCTCCCTGTGAGAAACTTCTCGAAGCTCTGCCGGCTCCAAGTCAGCCCCACCTCTGCACCAAGGCCAAGCTAATCAGCTGCACCTCTGTGATAATGTCTTTAAGAAGGGGCCTGGTAAGGAGGAGTTGGACTTGGGAGGAGTTGTGGCAGCTGCATGAACACCAAGGTTAGTGGAGAACAGAGGAAGAAAGGAGGAGGGAGGTGTGCTGGAGCAGAGACCCCCCTGTATCCTGTGGTGAGACAGCAGGGTGGCCCCTCCCTGCCACCCATTGAGATCTGTGGTGTAGTGGACACTGATTTATGGCCTTTGAGGGGCTTCGCATGGCCGACTAAGGTGATTGTGCCTGAAGAAGGCCGGGGTCTTGTGGGAAAAGGTAGCCCTGCTGTTGTAGTTTGGCGCTGGGAGGATTGCAGCGTGAGGGGGTGTCCCGTGCTGGAGCAGCTCGGGAAGGGCCTGCAGCCTGTGGGAGGGACTCAAGTTGGAGAGGGTTTATGGAGGACTATTTGCTATGAGAGGGGGACCACAATGGAGCAGGGAGAAGAAGTTCCAGAAGCTCTCCACACCGAAGAGGGAAGAAGTGGCAGCACTGACTGCACCCCCCATTCCCTGCTCCTGTGCCACTGCGGGGGGAGGTGGAGATATCAGGAGCAGAGCTGAGCCTGGGAAGAAGGGAGGGGTGGGGGGAAGGTGTTCTCAAGATGTGGCAATGCTTCTCACTGTCCTACTCTAAGTGCTGATGTTAGTGTCTGTAATAAATCTATGTTCTTTTTTTTTTCTTCCCCTAATGAGTCTGCCTTTTGCCCATGACCATAATGGGTGATTTGCCCCTCTCGATCCTATCTCGAATCCCAAGCGAGGCTCATTTTTCTCTTCTCATCGCTGGGAGGGAAGGGAGGAGTGAGCAGCCGTGTGGTTCTCAGTTACCCTCTGAGCTTGAACGATGACACATAGTTACAGTTATGGTTTTCTTTCTGAGCAGGCCAGTATGACTGAAACTCTTGCCTCCTCTATGTAGTTTCTGTGTAAATAGGCAGGCAAGATAGGAGTTCTCCAAATAATTTACGATAACATTGTTTTGCAGTTTTTGCCATCTTAAATTGTCATCTGAAATCATGTTGGGGTTTTTTTGCCCTACAGAGATATTATAACCGTATCACGACTTTCTAAATGATATGCTTTGAGTAAGAGTTCAGTCCCCCAGGGGATCCACTTTCTATACTTAAAAGTTGCCAGACTTAGTGCTATGTGTTAATTAAATTAATGAAAAATAAACTATCAGCTTTAGTTCACTTATTGTAAAATTTTTGCTTTAAGTATCAAAGAGTAACTAAATAGTAAGGTGATCCATTTCTGATCTAGTTTGATTTCCTGGCCCTCAGGCTTGCAGTGCATTGGTAGCAGCACACAACTCCTGGGGAAAGTGAGTATCTTTGCTCAGGTGTGACATGTGTAATAACTCCTTAGGTCTTTCTTCCTAAAGTCTACACCACAAAGCTAGTATAGGGAGCAGTCAAAAGCAACTAAAACAGTCAGAGGAGAGCTGTGTGCAGATGTTAGATTTTTCCCCTTTGTTCTCTTAACAGTAATGAAACAAGAGGAAAGAATTCAGCCATGGCACATCAGTGATCAAAACTTCTATAACTTTTGAATAAAGATACAATCTCATTGTAACAGTAAAGACAAGAGATAGAGCTTAGATGGTGAAAACTTGCAAAACTTTTAAACTCTTACCAGAAAGCAAATCTTCATTCTCTTTTTTTGCTCTGCAGTTAAAAGAGAGGAAGCAGATTCCTTATCACAGAAGTTAATACAAATATACATTAGCACTTTATGTCTGCTTCCTCTGCCCAGATCTCCAAGTCTTCCTTCTTTTGATTCTATGGACTTGGATTTCACCATGTATAATCATGAAGCATTTGTGCTTATATACTGGACATTAGTTAAACATTTTGTTTTAACTCTATTTTATGACACTTTGGCTTGTTTGACCACACTGTATATGTGGTTTGCTATTAAGATTTTTCCATGCTAATGAAATCTCTGCTTCCTTCTCTCTCACAGCAAGTATGCAGATTTCAAAAACAAAACTAAACCAAAAAGCCTTAAACTCACAAGGACATTCTGTTTATCTTATGACAAAGGAGGAGAAATCTGGAGTTGAACAGTCAGGAACTCTTCCGAGTTCAGTGTATCAAACGTTGTTTGCATCAAAATCCTTCATGTGCATCCAGTTCATCTCTGAGACTGAAAGCAAAACTAACCTGGATGTCATTTAGTTTTGTAGACTAGTATCAGAGATCACATGACTGAGATAATTATTTTAAGGGATAATGTAAAAGGCTGAATGTAAAAGGCTGTAACTAGCAGTGGATGACTTCCTTACAGTGGAAGTCATGGTGTCTGGGACATTTGGACAGAACTCTGACTAGTAGGAAGCAATAGATGGAGTAGGTGACCTGCAGATTACCACTTCCAGCTTCTGATCTCTGCCTATGTTAATTTTAACCTTTGTACTGCAGCTTTGTCAAAGTACTGCTTTGCTTGTTTGGGCAAGTCTTCATGTTCTGTCTTCTCTATTGAAAGTAGTAAGTTTAAGGAAGGTATTTTTCTGAATAAAATAATACATTTTAAACGTTTTGGGTTCTTTGGATCATTTTGTAAATAAATTGCAAGTTGTAAATAATTGGGTCTACTTAGGCTGACATACTAGAGCATCTATATTTTGCAGAAAAAAAAAAAAAACAAACACCTATTTTTTTAATGGATGAAGACTAGAAAGGTCTTGAGTTTTGTCAAAAAGCAAAAATGCCCTTTGAAGAGTAATAATAGTAGCTCTTTATGTCTGCTTTATGGAAAAGCTAATAATACTAGACCTGAATGAGATTTGTGATGGAGTGAATGTGTCTATTGTAATTGATTTACTTTGGAAATCTTGTAAACCCTACAAAAGTTCAAGAGGGTGGTCACTTCCTTTTTTGATTAAACACTAACTAATATGGTAAGAGTATATTTTCTTTTATAAAATGTAACTTTTTACTCCAGGCAGTTGTTATAAAAAATATTAAATAAATGCTATAATTAACTTGTTGCTGCTGCCTTTGGTGCAGGCTTTCATTTAGGAAAATATTTTTAACAGTCTTGCTTGATACATTTTTATCATCTGAATATTTGTTTATATATTTAGAAAGCCAATTAAGAGAAGAGGAAAGCTATTTTGTTCCCGTCAGCCCTCACTATAGTAATTTTAGCCTAATACTGAGCTGTAAGAAGTTTGTATATACACATGAATCTACACTTGCTTGTCTAGAAAGAAGGTCTATATATAATGTATGAGACTGGGAAATTATCTGATTGGAAAGTTTGATATATTTATTCCCCAAGCTTTTTATGGTAGGCATAAACATGTATCAATTTGTATGGCAAATTAGGTTGTTTTGTTGGGTTTTATAGTATTTTGAGACAAGACTTTAATTGGCATTTAAAAATTAAACTGAAATGTATATGAAAATCTGTTAGCTGATGTTAGCGATCATGTTTGATATAACTCCATCATAGAGTGGGATTTGTGGACAGTCTTGCTGCCAACCTTTACCAAGATGTAAAACTAAAATTTCAGTGAGTTTCTAAACATGAACCAATGAAAGACCATAGCAAGTAGCTTCTGTATTCTGATCATTACTTAGTAGAGCAAGGAGTTCATCACAAGGAAAGAATTTCTAACACCACAAACTGTTTTGCCCTGTGAAAAGCAACCATTACTAACCAAAAAGTTACGGATTTGACCACATACTATGCTACCTTTTATACCTTTGTGAATTCTGATATTTGTAGTGCTTTATTTTAATACTGAATCTGCGTAAATGTTTGTCTTGAGAGGGTGGCAGTGAACTTCAAGTTTTGAATTCTTGGATGATTGTGGACAACTGTTGTTGAATGCTAGTATCTTTATGTGCTCCTGGAGTCTGTCATGTAAGGCATTAGGAAGAAGGCATCTGCTCAGTCTTAATCATCAGTTTTCAGTGTTAATGAGCAGTTCCAGCTCTGAACTGGAGGCCCTCTTCAGCTCCTCTGTTAAAACTGCTTACAAAAAATTGAGCCTGACAGAGGCTGTAAGAGAGTATGAATCTGAGTTATGAGGAATGGCTGAAGGGAGTCTTAGCACCTGGTATAGATTCAAGGATTTTTTTCTGTTTTTGCTTTAAAATGTATGAGTATTCTCTGAAGCAAGGGCCAGAATCCAGGTTTCCCTACAATCTGCATTGTAATACTACCGCTACTAAATAATCATTTCAGAATATTGATACCACAGGTTAACATGAATGCTCTCTATTTCCTCTTTAATGTTGTAATGGTGTATTTTAGAGGTAGAAAGTCTTTTCTCTCACTGAAGCGGAGTTGGTTTAAAAGCTATACATCTGAATTGGTTCTTTAAAGTTAGGATTTTAGGTATGTATTAAGCTGATTATTTTTTTAATAACATAAGAATTTTTTGCAACCACAAACATTAGCCTCATGAAGTAGGGAAAATATCTCTTCTTTGGCTAGAAAACACGGTATAGATGCAGTCTAATTTTTATGATACCACATAGGCATAACTAAATTCTTTGCATTCATAACTTTGTCTTTTGTTGCAGGTGCTAAAAAGTGGCGATCCCTTTCAAAGCAGGTGGGCAATAATTCCTGTGCTGTCTTATAGCCATAGATTTTGATACAGTTACTTTCTTCCATGATGTAAACTTAAAGTCAGAGAAGAAATAAGGGAGTTCTTAAATGTTATGGGGTTTTTGTTTTGTTTTTGTTTTTGTTTTTTTTTCATAAAGAGACTTTAATATCTTCCATTTTGCCACTTCAGACTCAGCTGAATCCAGAATCTCAAAGATAACATGATCATCTGTGCCTGTGATGTTGCATTTACTGATTTTCTCAAGGCTCTGTCAGTTCCTTCCTCAGCCCATATCCGACTAAGTTTCTTTATTGTTTAAGTGTAACAGGTGTATCCAAAGCTGTGTGAAGTACTTAAGCCACTCTTTACCTTTTGTGATGCTTAAGAGCCTCTTTCATTTTATTTTTTTTGCATTTGTACAACTGCAAAAAGACTTTCTCTGGATCCCTCTAAAGTACATTCATATTCATGGGTGAAGTTTGCTTTAGTTCAGATTGAGCATTTTAAAAGAACAGTTGATTGGAGCTTATATGAAATCCAGCGGGATTTATCCCTGGCTTCAGTGAATATGAGTAGTTGTGAGTATTTTCAGCAACAGATATGTTACATTTCTCTCTCAAACTCTGCAAACACTTAGTATTCATTCAGATGAGCAATTCTTGGAATAATGTGTGCAAAATTTGGATATGTGCTTGAGAACTTACAAAGTCATTGTGATAAAATGAAGGTAAGTTAACTGGTAGATTTGTGTGCAGTTCCTTGTCTTTTTTTATTGATTTCCTAGCATTTACTTATAATCTTTTAACTACTTTATTAAATATTTAAATATATTTGTTTATTTTAATCTTATTTTTTAGGAACTGAATCAGATTCTTATGGAGACACCACCAGTTTGGAAAGGATCATCCAAACTTTTCCGTAATCTTAATGAAAAAGGTGAGGGTTAAGAATTCATTTTCCTGAATCAGATTATCACTTGTATTAATTTACAGTGGCTAAAGTGACTTTGTTTGAGTCACATAGTCAAAAAGATAAAAAGTGTTTGTTGCTGTCTACATTTCACAGCATAATAAAGTTCCCTTTAGTCTCGACAGTGTTTTAATTATGCCATCTTATAGCTAGCCTCTTCAACTGAATTCGTATCTTAGTTTGATAAACTTATATTTGAGTCTTTCAAATTCAGTTTGTTTTAATGAAGAATGATCTGTAGACCATAGATAGAATATCCTAATACAGACACAGTATCTCTTTACTTTTTTTAATAGGTTCAATGATGTGATTATTATTAAAGACAGTAATGGTATCCTATATCGCTGAAAAAGCAATTTTCTTAACAACATAAAGAGACAGTTTCAGAAATGCTATATATCTCTTTAAATTCTGCAGATGAGGGCTTTGATAACTTTTAAAACTTGCACTATAAGGAAAGAGCCAAGAGCCACTCCTGGTCTCATATTTTAGTTGTTGTTTGTTTTTTTTTTGTTTTTTTTTTTTTTTTTTTTTTTGTTTTTTTTTGTTTCTTAACAAGCTCTATCACTTCAAAAATAAAAAACACTGAAAAAAAAGAAACCTATGATGGCTTGCATACAGATATTTAAAAGCTGTTTGTGATAAATAATCCAAGTACTTCTTTGCTTGTATTCAGAATGGCAAAGGTCCGGTGGAGTGCTTTAAGTATTTTTAAAAGCAGCCACAAGTACTTGCTATAAAATAACGACATTTTATGAATGTTTCAAATAAGCATACCAGCAACAAAATTCCAATCAAATGTGTGCAAGTAATTGATGAATGTAATTCATATGCAGCTCAAATTTATTAAAGGAGTAAGTATGAACCTAATGTCAGAGGAGGGTCGCAGGCTCGTATCTCTAGTGCTTGGAGGCATGTTCATTTTTTTCCCTAAGTCTGCAGCCAGAATTCTGAAGAGGCAGAAACTGGCACATCTTTGCCTGATATTTTCTTGTTCTAGACTGCTCTCTATATAGTCAGAACAGCTGACTTTTGAAATACTAATTACATAAAAATGCAGCTTCAGAATGTGTTAGATAAGTACATTATCAGTTTAAAAACCATGGATCTGGAAGCTGGTTATTAAGTCTGTAAAAAAATGTCTGCAATGTGCAGTCTTGATTCAACAATATCTTGCTCCAGTTTTCTGCCAGTGAAATTCTACAGAAGTTGATGGAATTAAGAGAACTCAAAACTGGCGTAATAAGTTGGTAAAATTAGCAATAAAGTTTATCACTTACATAGGTTTTCAGCGTGCTTTATGAAAAAAATAGTTTCATTATCCCATTTTATAGATAATATAGGAAAATATAATGGGTCTTAAAGACTGGTAAGGTCATTCAGTAAGCCAGTGAAAGGAATGGGAATAGAATTCAGGTTTCCTTAATGCTAATTTAGTGTTTATTTAGTACATGGCTTGAAAACTCTGAGATTAATTTACTAATTTTCTTTAAAACATGCACATTTTAGTATGAAGCAAGTAGAACAATCCATTTATTTTGTCACAGAGTCATTTAAATCAGATGAGCCACATAGATTTATGCCACTTGCCCTTAAGTTTTAAGTTTTACCCGTGAATGACCTCCCTCTCTTCTTTCTGATCTTAGCATAAGCTTTTCTTTCCATTCAGTCATCAGTTAGGAGCCTCTATCCCATAACACTCAGAGCAATCAACCGGAACTGTCTGTCTACAGCTGCAATATACCAGTACAAATAAAAGGAGAGAACGCTTTCAAGGCCTTTTATATTGTTCTCTTCATACCTGTGATGGACTACTTGACAATTGCACTTTCTCCATCTGTTTTACAACAAAGAATGTGTCGTCAAACAAACAAAAACACATATTTACGTTTATTGACTGGCTATTAGAGAAGGTTTTTCATCACTGAATGAGAACCTTTGAGGTATCTGATTTTGTAATAGCTGCTTGTCCAAACAGATTCAAGCAGGCCTTTGAAAACTAATTTCTGCAAGCTGCTGTATAAAATCAAGGAGATAAAGCATAGAGCATGTGTTACTTAAATGCCTGCATTTAGTCTTTGCAAGTCTTCAGTGTGGAGCTGTGTGTAAATGGAGGAAAAGAGTAGGTGTTATTAAAAACACTTAGTAGCCTTTGTAACTAGATCTACTAGCAGTAGTAGATTCTTGGTTCTGAAGACTTAAATGTGCTCTTGGTTCAAAAGGTGGAAAAATACTTTTTTTTTTTTTTTTTCCCATGAATGGATTGAAAGTCATGAGGGCAGCACTTCATCTTGTAAAGGTTGAGGGTTTTAGTGATTCTTTCTAGTATGCGATTTGGTTCCATAGACAATTTATTTAACTGTCTTTCTTCTGTATTGCCTTTATATTCCAGTCTTTGCGATATCCGTGGAGATCTTTGTGGTTGGTTATTTTTTCTTTTCTGTTTGAGGATAGGAAACTTGATTCTCTTGAAGGTGCTTCTTTTTCAGTACAGCTGGCTTTTAGGGAGGAATTTTGTATGACTGAAGGTTTCGGGAGGCATTTGGACATATCCAAGAGAAATACAGCTGAGATTTTTGTATCTCATCTATTCAAGAGAACAGAAAGTCCCTCCTGAGTGTTTTTTCAGGACAGAACTAATTTAGAACTTTTTGTACTTTAAATATTAGTAGAAGATGCCAGTTTCTTACTTTGGCTGTGTTGGAAGTGCTAATGTTAAATGTGTTCAATAACTCGAAAATCCACATGAATGATGCAGTTTTGAGTTTTAATTGTACAGGTTTTTCAGTAAAAAAAAAAAAATCAGATTACTATTTACATAGTTTGTCACATACTCAGTTAAGTCAGATTTTAAAAGATATTTAAACATCCAAAGATGTGACTGTTTTTAGAAAAACCTTTGCACCTGACTTGGACTGAAATCAAGGAGACAGCCAGCAACTTCTGAAAATCCCAGCTGATAGACATCTTTACTCTCAGGCATCTAAATACTTTTTTTTTTTACTCTTTTGAAATAATCTAATATTGTGGACTGACTTAACACTTCTGGGTTTGGAGGACAGACAAAATCAGTTGGTTAGAAATCAGGAACCAGTTTTGCTAGTTCTCCCTCAAAGATCATTAGAGCTGAGGGCTTTTGGGAGAGCTGCAAGTCAGTTTTCAGTTCTCACTGAACTGTAAGACACTTCTCGCCATTGGTACTAGGGTCATTCTGCAAGGCCGTTTCTTTACTCAAAAGCTAGAAAAGCAGAAGTACAGTTTATAGTTCCAGACATACTGTTTGGACATTGAATTCAGCTCTAATTTAAACCTTGTCTTAATCACTTCTGAAGAGAAAAGGAAGTGCCATTCCACACTGTGATTGCCTTTTGACATCTAACAAAAGATGAAAAGCTTGCAATGTATTCCTTACAGATCTTCTGAATATAGAAGAAGAGATAGTACAAATGTCTCTAACAGGCCTTAAAAATATTAACAAAATTTACACATTCCTTTAATAAGAGTTTTAATATAAATTCCAAGTGATGATTATGAAAACATGCATGTGAAGACAACTCAAAAGCCCAAATCTATGGTTCTTAAGTAACATGAGGCCAAGTTTTCAGTTAATATAGGACATGCACTTACAAAATGCATATTAAAGTCAAGAACTGTATTCAAATGGTATGTATTAGTAGGGAGTACTATTAATGTTTTCAGAGTAAATGTTCTCATACTGTTAGAGCGCGTTGTCATGAATTATTGGTGGGGGTTTGGGAAAGAAAATAAAATAAATAATTTATATTAGCTTCTCAGAATCTAGCCAGCTTCTGTTTAATGAGCTATTCTCCACTGACTGTAGTTATTTGCCATATTTAATGTATTCCTCTCCTAAAATACTCAAAACCAAACCCAAACAAAAAACTCCACACTTACAGAGCAGTATTTTAGGCAAGTGACTCATTGACTGAGTTGAATAGTCACATGTACCCAGGTATGAATGCATACGCACATGTACAAAAATTCTTCTTACACATAGATTTAATATTTTCAAGTTTAGGACGTGAAGACAAGGTGAAACTAATATGACATAACTTTTTTTTTGTCTTCAGGTGTGATATCTTACACAGAATATTTATTCCTCTTATGTATTTTAACAAGTAAGTATTTTTGGAGGAAAAAACCCCCCAAAACTTAGAAATTTCTATGTTCTGAATATATTGCTGTACGTCACAATAATCTCTTTTTTTTTCTTCCACCCCACTGCATATCCCAGTATGGAAAAAATTGTATCATGCATCACTATGTCCATTTGAAACTCTCCTATCCTACTTGAATCTTTATATCTCTGAAATTCCTACAAAATTTCTAGATGAACTTACTGATGAATACTTTTTCTTCTACCACCCATAAAAACAAAGTGGAATAACTTAAGAGTGAACTAAGCCTGATACAGACTTTGTTTTGGTAATTGAAGAGGTTTTTTTTGGGAAGGAGTGAAGTGTTTTACTCATGTTTCATTTGTATGTTAATAAAACATTTCTTTTGGATTCATTATGGGTTTAGACATCATCTGGATTCTTACTATGAATCAGAGCAGAAACTTGACCCACAACTCTTACAACCCCTAACTACTAGATCAATGGATATTCTTCCATTATTTCTTTGTTATCTGGAGTAACTTTTGGCCATAATTCATCCATGTTGCAAATCACTAAATATCACCAAATGTTCCTCAAAGGCTTCACTTAGTTACCTTCAAAGTCCCCATGTTTCAGAAATAATTTAAAATTCTAACTTGATTTGAGATTTCAATGACTAAGCACATAAACAAGAAAATTCTGTGTCTCCTTCAATACATCATTTGTTTTGACCAGAAGTTGCATCCTGTACCTTTTTTGCAAAAGTTTTTGAAGTGTCTTTTAGAACATTGTTTTCATAGAAAATTTACTTTCTACAAATTTGTATTTTGTAACATAAAATGGACTCTACCTATGAAGTAACACTCTTAACTACCCAACCAGCCATTATTGTGAGATACTTCATGGTCTATTTCTACTGTCTGTTTCCCCTAATCTGTGAATTTGTGAGCATGCCTTTTATTTTCATAACATGGATAATACTGTTTTACAGATGTTATGATTTGCATTTACTGTGTACACAAATGTACTTATTTAATTTAGTTGAGGATGTGCCTTTATACACAGACACCAAATAATTTCTTGGAGTTTTATATTTGCTTTCTTTCCAAGCAAATAACTGGGTGGTTTTTTTTGGCAGAGCCACATGCAGGTTTCAGAATCGCTTTCAACATGTTTGATACTGATGGCAATGAGATGGTGGACAAAAAGGAATTCTTAGTGGTACGTGTATTTTCAGTCTTTGAATATTTTGATGTAATCCTGGAAGTAATTTTTTTGCCTGGGCTGAGACTCATGATGATGTCAGTAATCATGAGAAGATAAGCTGTTCTTCACTGAATGTGGTTGTTTGCCTTATTTAATGTAAATAATAAATGTAATGTAAATTGTAAATAGTAGCTCCCCATTAGAGTGTATGGATGTGTTGTATATATTGATTTTTTGAAGCTTAATTCCAGTTTTTAGTCTGGATCTTTTTAATTGCTACCTACATTCACAGATAATTATGCTATTAAAGTAATGTTGCTGTATCAAAGGTCAGCAATATTATTTAATTGCCATAATGGTGGAATGACTTGCAAAATAATCTTTTCCTGGGAGACCACTTCACTTTGTCATTCATTCTGTTTATAATCCCAGGTGACCTGAAAATATGGACTGACGTAATATGACACTCGTCTGTTTTGGACAAGATTTGTCATGAAGTAAAACTTACTGGACATATATCTGGTTCAGCCCCTGAAATCCATACGCTGAAGCAGTTTGCTGAGATGGGGTTCTGTGATTTCTTTTTAGGGAGAATATTCATGACACCAAAATTGACTTTGAGCTGAATAATTTTCATCTGCTTTGAAACAGTTGGCAGGATATCTAGAATTTGGCAGTAGTTTTGTTGCATCTGGGATTTTGTTACATTACAAATCTGAATTACAATATTTTTTCAGACCAGAGCTTTGCTCAGTTCATTGCTTGAAAATGCAGTTCTGTAAATTATTCTTACAAATTATTTAAGCAGAGAGTTGATTTTTCTTCTGGTTAGAAATTTAAACAGACCTTGAAAGAAAAATTAGCTTATTCCACATGTCATTGAGATTTGTGCATTAAAGAGAGTTTGACACTTGAAAGAAAATCTTAAAAAAAATCTGAATCGTCCACTGTATTTTGATTTTTATCATGATAAATCTGATAATTGCATCCTAAAATTCAAATACTTCATAAATTTTCCTGTGATGGGATCCGCTAAGTACAGGAGAATAATGCTTGCACTGACAAGTGTAAAATTAAAAAGCCTTGGAAAGAGAGTGCTATTTCAGATTTATGTTCATTTGTTTATTTTCTGATTTTAGAAGAAATGGGAGGAATAACTAATGCTATTCTAAATGAATGTCAGTGATGAAGTAAAAAGATTTATCATTTAAAAAAAAAATATCTTGAAATGCAGAATATTGCCCACTGATCATTAGGGCTTCTGATTTTACAATGACTACATGGCTTTAGATTAACAACCTGCACAACATAGTATAAATCAGAATTTTTTAAACTGGGAATGTTCATATGCAGCAGATGTCTGGGATTACACTGAAACCGTTATGGCAAACATAGTTTTTGGCATTTCTTTAGAAATTAATATCTAAAATTTTGTGGTTAGTGGTTTAGACAAGCTTTCCAAAGAAAAGCCTGAACTGGACCAAGCAAGTAGAGGCGATTAATAAAATAAAAAGTATTTATAAGGATTGAATCAGATGTTTGTAAAAATACAGACATTTGCAGGAGTCATCAGTTCTTATCTTCATACATTTTGCGTGTAGTTGAATCTATGAATAAATACAGTAAATGCATGTGAGAAAAAAACCACTTCCTTACTGAAGAAGAAGATGGAACAAAATGTAGAGAATGAAACAGACACATGGAATGGATTTAACTCTAAAACCACAATATATTTAAAACGAACACACCCTAAGTTCCTTTGTGCTGTATCTTAATTGTTTTCAAGCCAAGTTATAAGGCTCAATTAACCTAAAGAAAATGGAAACATGAAAGAAACTGTCCTCAGCTCACTGAACTTCCTTCAGTTCTTCTTCTCAAGGAAGTGAGATCTGAGATCTGGGGGCTTGTTTTCTGGTGGCATATCTTAAGCAGAACTTTATTTTGGAAGCTGTTGCCACTTGCAAATTGTGGCATGCTGATAATTTTTTGTACTCTAATATTAAACGAACAGATCCTTGTATTTGCTAATTCTTAATAACGATCTCATCCAGTCAGAGGAAAACACACACACACACACACACACACACACACACACACACACACACACACACACACAGCTTTCATAGTCCTCTTCTTATCCTGGTTTTCATTTGTTATGTCATGATCCTTGATACAAATTTTTCCTCCTTATTCTTTTTCTGTTACCAGACATGGTGAATAGAAGAAAGAAAGGAGAATTTTCAAATATTAGATATGCTCTTCTTCACCTATTATGACCCTAATGCTACTTGATCAGTGTGTCAGTGACCCTTCAGAAATGAGATCAAAACCCACAAGTCAATGTTAGATCTGAATTCAGAAAGACTAAAATGGATAGGTAGGTAGATAGATAATGTCTATGTAAATATGAAAGTAAAAGTTGATTCAGTGGTGCTGCAGTTGTGGTAGACCTGGTCCCAAAACATATATTTTGCACCTGTACTCGCCGTGCTTGGGTATGCATTATCTGTGTGCCTGGAAGCAGGAGACTGTAAGCATTGCCATTTGAACTATATTCAGCGTTTGCAAAATACTTCTCCATTGATTACAGTCAGCTGTTGTAAAATTGGGTTTATAGTTTGCAAATAAAGAGACTGAAGAGATGGTGTAGGGATTACATGTTATGTGATTCTTGAAGAGAAGAGTAGGTATAGTGAAGAGTTGAAAAATACTTAATTTTTCTGGTAACAGCTTTAGTGTTTTTGTAAAATAATTCTATGGTGTTTGTGCTTTCCTCTTTGCTTATGTCATAGGGGTGAGGTCAAGGAACAGAAGGATTGTGTTTCCTTGTCATAGGAGATCTTGGTTTTGCTGCTTTCAGCAGCCAATCTCATTATCCTGTTTCAAATAATGTTCCTATGAAAGTACTCCTAGATCCTTTTTGCATTCACTTTTCTGCTCACTGGTATCCTATGGCACTCCTTCTGAACAAAAGATCCATTTCCACAAGTTTAGCAAGTGCTTTAATGATGAATGCAACAGAATCCCCTCCCTTTGCCTCTGTGGCAGGGGAAACGCATCCAAGGATGCATTGCTTTTTACCAGTCTTTTCTGGTTTTTCAATTAGTGCCGGTCTTCTCTCTAACTTCATGGCTTGTCACTTCACTTTTCACAAGGTATTTTCTTTCTACTTCTCTCTTGGAATTTACCTTTCTTCTTTCCACAGTTTTGGGTTGCAGACGGTATAATACTCTTGACCGTCTAGCTGAATGTCCTATCATGACTCTTTCCTTGTCAGCATATGTTACAGTAATTTGTGCCTATAAGTTTGCAAAAAATTAGGAAAAACATACCAAGATCTGTAAATTGATCCCATAGTCAAAAATAGATAAAGTGACACACACAATATTCTGCTCAGTATTTGCCTTAAAGGCAATTCCAGAAGATAGTAGTCAATTTTGGAAATTCATAGAATATTATTTATAAATGCATTTTCTATTTAATCGCTGAACACTGTATTAATTTATCTCAATGTTGCCCCTGCTGCAGAGCTTGCTGATCCCTTTGTCTTAGTCATCTGCCTTCTCTGAAATACGGTGTTCTGAAATTAAGTTTAGAAAATTTGTGTGCAAAATTTATCACACACACTTGATCTTTCACATTCCGAGCCCTGGGGAACTCTGTGCGCATGTCATTAGAATATCAGGTTTTTATCAGACTTCAGATAGGTAAAATCGGGTCTTTGAAATGACTGCCACAATTGTCTGTATGACATGATGTTTGGTTCTGCAAATACTATATTCTAGATAGGACAAATTCATCAGCCACAGTGTTTATTCTTTTTCCAGCCCACCTTGAGATTAGCAAATGCTGCAAGTGGCAGTACAGTATTTTCACATGCAGTTTTTGAAAGGCTGAAGTTTACAGGTAGAGATATAGATGGCATCATAGTTAACACTGCTCTTACTTGATGTGAAGATTAAACAGTGACACTTTTTTTCGTAATGGTTTGATAATATTAATAAGTATTACTATAAAAAAAATAAATAGAACAGATACTTACAAAGAAAGATAAGTACAGACTAGTTCTTACTGTGAGGACTTTATAATTTCAAAAAATAAATATGCTCAAGAATCTGTGTGTCTTAAATCTTGTATTTGAGGTTTTCTCAGAAGTCATGTTTAAAGCTCTTAACGTATAGAAAGTTGTGAAAGGGGTATTTTACAAGACCTGAAGGTATTCTTTGAACAGACTTGAAAAAAAAGGGTACTTGATAAATTACTCTTGAGTAGTAGTTTGCTGCTGCTGAAGGGGAATGTTTCACCCCCACCAGGTGTTTCCACCCCTCCCTTGTGCCAGCAGGAGTAAGAACTGATCTGTTTGGAAACTAACAATATGAAAAAAAGATTGATCCAGCTGAGTGCATAGCCATGCAGATACTAATTAGTACCCAACAAGAAAGGATGTGCCTAGAGGTGGTGAAAAAAGCTGGAACTCCCCCTTTTTGTATAGGCTGGATTGGCTAAAATGTGAAGCCAAATAGGATGTTCTTAGTATTGTGCTCCCAAATACAATTACTGGTCTTTGTGGAAAAAATGTTTTACTTTTTCCTTTCTGTGTAATGATTAAGGTCACAGAAGGAACATGAAAGCATGAATATGATCAATAAAGCATCATTGAAACAGTGATATTTCAATAAAGAAGTACATTTTAATACTGTTTGCAGCGTTCCTGATGATGAATGATTGTTATGCATGTGAATTGTCTGAAAACTAAGTAAAAACAAAATGTTTGTATTTTAGCTACAAGAGATTTTCAGGAAAAAAAATGAGAAGAGAGAAAGAAAAGGAGATGAAGAAAAACGTGCAATGCTGGTAAGTTAAAATTAGAATTGTTGCAGGTGGTAGTTTGTTTTCTTCATTATAGGACAAAATCATGTGTGTATATATTTCACAAATCACTTTCAGGGTTTTATTTAAACAATAATTTCATATAATTAGAAGAATATGCATAAGTTTCATATATAGAAAAAAAAAAGCAATATTTAGCCTAAACTGCAGGTATTGGGGAAAAAAAGTATATTTAAGTGGTCTATAGAAAGGAAAAAATAGTGTTTAATACTGTATTACATATTATGACAGTAACACTGATTCCATTTGGAGTCTATAAATCTAGGAAAAAGTGAATAGTAATGACCCAGTGTTATTGTCTATGAGTGAGAGATCTCAGTGGCAAGACCAAACTATACTCCTGCTCTCATAACTAACTGCAGCTGTTCATGTAGACATACAGCTCCTGATGCTTATTATTAACATAGTAGTTTTAAAATAGCTTATGAAATGTTACAAGTAAACTTAGCTTTTATATTAAAATTTAATGTTTTTATCAAATACTGCTTATGGCCACTGCAAAATGTTTTTAGTTTATATTATGTGAATAGATTTTTGTGGAATATTGAATACTCATTCTTGTATAATGTCAAATTTGTATTTCTTATGTGCATAAGAAAGGTAAGTCAGACAAGTCTTTGGTTTATCTGGAGGATGGCAGCAGTAGCAGAAACTTATTTTACTGTTGGACAAGTAAAAATCAGGGACAGGTCTCTGTTAAGGCCACATCAGAAAAAATACGTTCATTTGCTATTTGCATATTCATGGAAAAAATTCCTTATTATAAAAAATAAACTTTGACATATATGCAAAGCTTCTCATTGTGCCCATTATCCTTTTGGGACTATAGATACTTGATCTCAGATCTTTCACCCTGAAACTGTAGGAAGTTTGAGTTTCAAGAATTAATATGTTTTAATCCTTCCCTGAGCATAAAAAGGTATCTTTTCTTCCCATCCAGAGAGACCTATCCTTCTCAGCTTTTCAAAACTGTAGGTCAGTTGTTGAATCTCTCACACACTGTTTATTCTGAACAAAGGAAACTTACACCCAAAGGAAGATCTTTTGAAAAAAGTAGATTGCAAAATGGAATGTTTCTTCTGAGAATAATCTATGCAACTCTGTACTTCTCTTGAAAATTTGAAAAATGAGATTGAAGATAAACCATTTTTTCTTCATTGTCATTTTAAAACAAACGAACAAAATCTAATAATATATAAAATAAAGATTTGCTTGTCTTAACCTATTCTGTTGTCTTTTTTCCCCTTCTTTTGGCTTCATTCTGACATGTGATACTTGGCTTGGCCCGTTTTTGCTGTATGTCAGCGTCTTCAACTTTATGGATATCATACTTCTACTAACAGTGTATGTACTCTAATTATTTTCAGTATATGCAGTCTTCACCAGTGAGGTGAAATAGTATGCTATAAGAAAATTTACTATGTTTATCTTTTTCATCAAGCACACTACTGATAATCAGTAAAAATATGATGGATCTTTACTTGCATAAAAGATTGTGCATGCTTGTTGCACGCGTTCTGAAACAGGCAAGCCTACAGGAGGAAATGTTGTACTATTTATATAAAATGAAGGAAACTGTATTTTTAAGGGAAAGGACAAAATATATCTTAAGAAATTATAGGATTGTTTTTAATGTGTGTAAATTAAGTCATCCTGCATGAGTCATTTCATGCAGGTCTGTCTTGTCTATCTGTTTATAGTGTGAAGTAATAATATGTCGAAAGAATCCTTCACCTCTTTGTTCCCCCCTTCAACTCACCCCAGAAAGCAAACAAACAAAAAACTGAAGAGAGCTTTTATAATTTTGTGCTTCACTTACAGAACAAATAAATAAGAACTTTCAGTGTTGAACTAGAATAGGGTTTTACAGAAAATAGTCCCTGTATTATGTAGGTGACAGTAAAATTATTTTCAGTCATTTTTGAGGAGTGTGAGAGAGAATCACCAAGAGAGAGATCTGAGTGTTTTAATGTCTTCATCATGACCTGATTAGGTTTTGGATCACAGCAGAAGTAAAACTGTTGTAAAAAATGATGTTAAAATAGAAGAATTAACCTTGTTTTGGAATGATTATTGTGATATTCAAAGTTAGGGGAGAGAACCTAAAGATCAGATAACTAATGAAATTCCAGATATAATATTTCACAAGAATGCTGTTTTATTTCCTGTGAAGTTAGCACATAGAATTTGGGCAATATGCAGGAAGGAAGTCTGTTGAATGAAAAGGTGCAGTGACACGATATAAATGCTGCAATGTTGTCAGAATAATGTTGCAGAAAATATGAGGGCTTGTGATTTAATGGATTTTAGATCAGGTTTTAGTGCAGTGAAAGAGGCTGTTACAGTGGTTGCCATATTCCTGTGCTGCCTCCTATTTTAAGTTGAAATCAAACTAGTTAGGCTTTCCTACTCATACAGTAATTTTCAGCTTTAGTAAAAAATATCCTTCTAGACTCCAGCCACGTCCAAACTCTTTAAGATGATGCCCAAGTGTGCACCATCTTTTTCTGCCCGCCTGCTACCTGAATGGAGATCTCCATGCAAAGGAGTCTCAGATGTATAGGAATTCACAGTATCCGACAAATCCCCCACCCCAGAAAATTGATACTTTGGGTTTCTATTTCTCCTACTGAAATAAGAAGTGTAACAACCTTTTCAGTTTCACTTGATGTCCTGGGGAGTTGAAGATACTCAAGACCAAGGAGGTGCAGTCCTAAAATATCTGGGATAGTCCAGAGTGCTATGTTGGGACCTTCTCACTTCATCCTTCAAAACAGTTCTAATTTTTTGAGAAGTGTCAAGGTCTATAAGCAGCAGAGTGCATACAGTGATGTTTTGAATGGCTTAAATATTTCTGTATTGTCATTTTCATAGGTTAATTCTTTCAAGTCATGTTCTCGTGCATGCTGTGTTGTGTGTTAAGACTATTTGAGCATGTATTGCATGAGTTCTTTCACTAGCCAAATACCAACCAGAATGTGATAACTATGATGAGATGAATGTAAGGAAAATAAAATGTTCATGCCCAGAAGTACTAATTCCATTGATTAAAGTAAATCTCCAGTAAGACAACAAATTCTGTGAATGCTTAAAATAGGTAATTACAGAATTGTATGCATAAAAGAATGAGGTGTTATTCATTCCCATGACCCAGTAAACATCAAAGGCATAAATAAGTGTAAGAGAGAAACTTTAAGGACCTGATCCTGTGCACAGTGAAGTAAACAAATTTATTTTAATTGAGCAATTTAGGACCAAATGCAGTTATATATGAGAATACTGTGGCCATGACATAGGAACTGTTACTCCATAGTAATTGAAGGATAAACCCAGGTTTTTTCAAAAAGGAAACATAAGTATAATACACATTAAGCATAGGTATAATTCCTGATAGTTTTTCATGTTTCTTTGATGTCAATTAACAGAAAGAGCTGAGTTGAATTGGTTAGTGGAGGAAGTCCATAATACAACTGGTAGAAGCAGTACATATAATGTGTTGACATAATGTAGAATACATAGAGACATTAAACCTTCAACTCTGTACAGTATTCTGTATGATAACAATGTGGTTTTACACATCGCACAGCAGCATAAATCTTCTAAGAGAACAGTATGCACTGAGTCAGAAAAAATGGTTTTCGTTTGGAGTTAGAAGATTAAACTTATTCTGTCTTTGTCTTGACTGCCCAGATGGATGTGAGTGGGGTGCTGTGAAAGTAGGAGACCTAGTTTAGATTAACTTGTGGAGAGAAAGGGGAAAATTCATTCAGTTGTAATAACCCTAACCAAATTCAAATAGCCTTCTGCTGTCTTTAGGATCACCTCCCCTAGATTCTTCGGCAGGAAAAAAAAAAATAAAAAAAAAAAAAATAAAACAAACCAAACAAATATATATATTACCTAGATCTTCCAAGACTAATTGCAAGATAAAGGAAGGCCTGTTTTAATAAGGGAGGTTTTTTCAGGCTTCCAAAAATGAAACATTTCAGAGCAAAAAGATAAGCTTATTTTCCTTGGAGAGATTAAATACTTATTTTCTGTTTAAAGAAGGTAAGATTGGTCATCAGATGTGCATAGTGTTTTCTTGATAAGTATATTACAGTTGAAGTCGGGTTTACTGGGCTTGGTTTTTGCATTTCTTTATTGGTGCAAGGATGTCATCCTGATTACTGGATGAAATTAATTTTATATAACTAGTTGTATGATGTTATGTATGTTTTGACTAATGAGAAAAAAATCATAAATACATGAATTAATATTTTTTTGGCAAAACAGAATTGTTAGAAAAACATTCAGAAAAATACTGGTTTAGATCAACATTTTCACATGTACTTGTAATAAATAATTCCACTTTACACTTTCTCTAATTTATTTTGTTTGGAAAGGTGGAGTCTGGTGGTACTTTTGGAACAGCCACATTATGAGTAATAAGCAAATAGCTGTAATAGACCAGCATTGCTTTCATTTACTAAGTGTCATGTAACGGGGTAGAAATTTCTCTGTGTAGAAGCAAGAGTCAAGCCATGCTTTTGAAGATCAGTTGGAAAAGAATTTAAAGTCTGTAAGTGGTTGTTTTGTTGTTCTTTGGTTTTCAAACAATTGTGCTTCTCAAAACTTCTGCAGGTGCTTAAAACAGAAGGAGAGGACCTTGTCCCCAGAAGCTATTGGGATACTTTGAGACGTAGCACAAGCCAAGCACTCTTTTCGGACCTTGCGGAGGTATAGGACAACCTCTGTCTCTGGTCCATAAACAGACTGCTACTTTATTTACTTCTGTTCTCATTATTTTCCTATTTTATACACTGTGTTTCTCCTCTTCCTTTTAATTACTTTTTTTTTTAAAAAAACCTGAAAGTTCACAGATGAAATGGATTTGGTTCTGTGCAGTGAGATAGTTAGAAGTTGTCATTTCCACATAAAAGCAAAGTTACTTTGCTTTGAAGGAGTGGGAAGATCAAGTCCGCTTCAGTCCTTACTATAAGAAGCATTTTCTAACACTAATAGCAACAGTATTTCACAGTTAGAGAAGCAATTCAGGAAACCTTTGTCATTTAGGCTTGGTCCAGTGATATGACAACTTTAATGAGAGTTGCATCCCCTTAAGCTCTTAACCTTTATGTCTTTAATGTACTTTTTATGTATATTATCAGAGCTTATCCTCACAAAAACAGTATCACACAAAGATTGTTTTAATTGTTGCATCAAACCAGGAATGTTTTAAGGCTACCAAAACATTAGTCAATCTTTTTTAATATTACATGATCATTATGGAGGACTAGCAATATCACAGAGCTGTCAAATTAATTTTCATATTGCTTTAAATTCTAATAAGTTTATTGTTTAATGATCTGCCTTCAGATAATTGAGTAAGACATTTGTTTGTATTGATCATTCAAGAGGGTCAGAAAACTAGATCATTTAGGCTTTTCTGTGCCCCATAGAGTGAGGGTGATTGCTCTGCTGGTTGTGGCATTAAAGGAAATGGAGCAACTCCCTACTGACTCTGGTCTCAAGTCCCGTGCTTCATAAGCAGGCTCATAATGAGAAAAGAACTGAAACAGACCTCCAGGGTAAAACAATCTTTTTTTTTTTGTTGCTTCATAAGCAATGCGCGCTCCACATTAAAAGTAATTAGTGTGTTGTCCCTGCTGTTCCTCTGCAGAAGCTATTGAGTAACCTGAGGACTTGGATGGACTTTTTCTAATCTCCAAGCTAAATTTCCTCATAGTTCCTTTATACCAGTCTGTTGTCCCTTAATTTTCATAGGGCTTTTTCTTCTTTAGTGGTAATCTTCTTACTCATAGTTGTGTTTATAAATGCAGTCATAGCCCTCAGTTTTCATTATCATGGACTAAACACAACAAGGTCTTTGATTTTTCTCTGAAGGGAGAACCTACATTTCCCAGGCCAAATAGGCCTTCTCTGTACCTCGCTCAGCTTGAGTTCATTTGCCTTTGAACAAAACAAAATCTAGTGTTACAGAACTGAGTTTTATACCAATATTTATAGCAATATTCATACTAATAATACATTTGTAGTAAACTTGCAGTGAAGCAGTAGACCCAGTTTCGGATTTAAATTGATGAGCTCCTGAACTATTAGTCCTTATTTATTCCAACAAATTTTAAAACCCAGAACATCAGTGTTCTTATCCAGTCAGCTAAAGCAGAGACATAGAGCGGGGAGAGAGGACCACTCTTTTTGTTGACTATTTAAGGAGCTTGGGGCACAGAGTTTTCTGAATTAACTGTCACCTTAATCTACAGTTAGCTGGCATTAATTCAGTCCCAAGTATAGATGGACTTAAATTTGCTAATCTCTACATACCTTTAATTTTAAGGGAGATAGTTCTTTTACATCTGATGCCCCAGACTAATATCTGTACAATGTAATTGAAGCTTAACAGCAGCTATACTAAACATTGATTTGAATTGTCTTTAAAATGTATAAAAAGTCTCTCTGCTCACTTGTAAATCATTTTATGAAGAAAAATTACATCCTGCATTTGTTCCACTGGCAATTTCCCACTTCTCACCATAATCATCTTTATCTTGCTTGGGTTAATTTTGAGCCATCGGGCTTTCATCCATTCTTATCTCTCCCAGCTACTCTCACATCTGATTAGTATTATAGCCATCTGTACTAAAAGTGGCATAAAGCTAGGTGACACTGGAGTCTGTTGTTTCATAGCCTTTTGAGAAGGCCTTGTGTAAGTTGAAAATGAGAGTAAATAAGGTTCATTGTTGTGGGAATCAACTTACAAGGTCTCTATCAGGGGAAAAGAAGTTATTCATCACATGCAGTTTCTTCCTAGGACAGTTTATGGTACAGTTTCTGCTATTCCTAATTTAGCAACTACACCATCCTGTTGGAATATGCTGGTTATCTCTGAATTCAGTTTGTGGGTTTATTCTTAAATTACTGGAAATCGGTGGACTTCCTATCACTATTGAAAAATCAAGGACTTGCAGTAAGAAACCTCCTATTAATTCAAAGCATGATATGCATACTTCATTCTCAGAATATGTGGCTGCAAGTGGATGATTGCTCATGAGTGTAACTTACTTTCAGTCAACTCTCTTTTTAATTAAAAGCTTGAACTTAATTTTGCAGAATACAAAAAAAAAAAAAAATAATTTACTCCGCTTCAAGTTAGGAAATTGAGAGGAAAAGATGTTGCCATTATGCAGCAAGCCAATAATGTGACTGAAACAGTTTTCTCACCTGTTTGTCCCTGTCTCTGTATTTGTATTACAGTTAGTGTAAAGGTAAAGAGAAATGAGGCAAGGTTTTATTCTCATTTAAATGACCGCAATATATATTAGATCAAAGTAGAGATATATGGAAATATATAGAAACAGATGTGGTCACGTTCACTGATCTAAAATACAAAATTAATTTTATTATGAACAATAAATAATTAAGGCTTTTGGGTTTATTCTTAGCCCTTGAGAGAGAGAATTTATTTAATGTTATCAATGCAGAAGGAGCACAGGAATAGTTTTCAGTTGCCTGCAATTCTGCAGAGAAGCATATTGGCTTGAGTTTCTGGGGTGAGTTTTTTGTTTGGGGTTTTTTCATTTAGTGAGGCTGACCAAATGGGAATTGTGAAAAGACTTACAGATTGTATTTTTTTTTAAATGGTTCTTTAGATATGGGTGAATGCAACCTAAGTCTAAGGTTTTGAAATGTTTTTGCAAGATGAAAGGCTGTAATTTAACATTTGATATCTTTTCAGTGTACTTGAGGGAAATTGTTTGAATGTGCTTAGGGATTTAATTGCTTAAAAGACATAAGAAATCAGGGTATCTGCATTTCAGTATATTGTGTCCTGTAGTGGAGGATAACAATATTAAAAGACAAATAGTGATTACTTCTCTGAATTACTTTGCTCACTTGAAGAGCAGAGCTGTCTTAATTGAAGGACATGGAATATCTCTCTACCTATATATACACCATGTCATCTTATTTCTCCCTGGAGAAGAATATGAGAATAAAGAGGAAGCTGGAGTACATGAAATACAATCTTGAGAATCCTAAACTGATTATACTTAAGTACGGAAAAGTCCCTCTCATTTCTTTACTTCTTGGATGTTGAAAGGAAAGGATTTGTTTTGTTACTGCCTCATGTTTTTCCTTGTTGATACATAAATACTCTTAATGGATATTGCATTTTACATTTTTTACAAATCTGTATTTAAATTTGAAATTAATATAGTATATTTCAGAGAATGTAGATGTGAAATGGTTTTTCATGGTACATGATGTTGAACTACTGTGTACTATTAAAAATTTCTTCTTAGTTTCTTCATTTAGAGTTTCTCCATCTGTTATGAATTTATAGCCTCTTCAGTTATGAAATAAAGTCAGACTTAAAGGACTCTGCGTGCAACTTGCAGGTTTGCATATACAGATTTTTATAGATCTGTATGAACAGTTTTCTATACTTCTAGGTTTATAATCTATCATTACAGTGATAAATTAGTACAGTTACATCTCCCAAACACTTACTAGGTTTCTGTACTGTGTATTCTGTTTTGTACTACTTGTGGTATGGTCCACCCCCATTCCTATACGGAGCATGATGTTACATGATATGGAATATCCCACTGGCCAGTTTGGGTCCGGTGCTCTGACTCTGCTCGCTCCCAGCTCCTTGTGCGCCTGTGCACGGGCAAGACACGGGGAGTTGGAGAGTCCTTGATTTCTTAGCAACGACTAAAGACATAGGTGTATTATCAACATTCTTCTCATACCAGATCCCATACTGAATCCAAAACACAGCACTATTCTAGCTGCTAAGAAGAAAAAATTCTCTATCCCGGCCAAAACCAGGACAGTACTTTAACAGTAAAGTCAGCAGGCACGCTTCCACAAAAATGTGGTACTGCTGATGAGTGGTAGCTTGCCTAGGAAGAGCAGAAACTACTGACTCCCATTCTTTGCTTTTCGTAAGGTCTTGTCTTTGTAAGAAAAATGAGAGCTTGGACAGAAGGGTCTCCCTAGGCAGGTGCAGCACAGAAACTAAATACATTACTCTCTGAATTTCAGATGTTGGTAGATGCACATTAATGCCAGAAGGACATTGCCATGGTGGAATACTGTGGCTTATTTAAGAGCCTTATATTACTGAATTATTTTTATAGCTCTTCAGTATATCAACAGTTTCTTTGTAAAAGAGGTGAAATCAATGCACATACATGATAGTTAAGGGTAATGAGTATGTAGTAAAAATGTGGAATGTTGCACAATCACTGTACAAAGATAATCATTACTTCTGTTTATACACTGATGATAGTTACCTCTGTTTATATGCATGTCTTCCTATTTACAACTCTTGCTATTACAAGTGGTCAAAATTAGTTGATTTTACTGTTCTAACTCTGTGCATTCAAAGTTGATCATTATTTATTAAAGAAAAAGCATTAGTACCTGTTCAGAGATATCTGTCTTGATGCAGAGACCACATACTCAGTAAATGAGGAACATTCTTAAGAGAATGAGTCAAAATATTACTTCATGATTTAAAAATTTCTTACAATTCTGTTGTTTTAAATATATTTGGCAATAAAACTTAAACTGTAGTCATCTGCTACTTACAGAACATAATCATATAAAGTACTCCTGACTGATGCGAATGGTTTTGGAACACAGTCTCATAGTTAATAATTTTGAAATATAAAATCAGAATATATGAAGTAATGTTCTTTAAAGTAACCTCTTTGTAGTTGCATTGTAGAAGAGAAAGGAGATTGTGTACAAAGGGAGGTATTTTTATGGTTTACCTCAACTGACTAGAACATTTTTTTAATCAAGAGTTTCTGGTTTTATTTTTCATGCTTTTTCCCCCTTCATTGCAGCTTCCATTATATTATATTGTTGTTTTAAGTGTTTTCTACTAAGTGCAGTTAACAGCCTAATGCTATTTTGTGTGAAAATTGCATGACTAAATTAATTTAATGGATTTTAACAGTGAAGTATTTTTTAAGACTGTGAACGTAAAACACAGACTATCTTAATAGAGAAGTTTATTGTGATGATAAGCATTCTCATATTATACTTCTGTAACTGATCCAGTCATGGCCTTTAATTTTTTTTTATTCTGATATTTAAGCGTGCTGATGATATTTCAAGTTCACTGTCAGATACTACACTGCTTGTACACTTTTTTGGCAAGAAAGGAAAAGCTGAACTGAACTTTGAAGATTTTTATAGGTGAGTCTCAACTTTACTAATTCCTTGTAAAAAAATACTTGCATATGTGTTCTAATTAGTGTGTATTATATTACTATACACAGTTTATGCATACATGTATATAAAGTTCATGTTCCCTTTGTGTATATTTTGTATAAAAAGAGCAAAATAAACAACTGGACCAACAATAAAAAGTTCTGTGCTAATGCTGCTGCATTTGCAAATTTTGTTAGCATTTGTGTGTGTAGTTGGTTTGGGATGGAGAGGCTATACCCCAGCCCTGTCCTTATTAGTATATAAGAACTCTTCATTTTTAATTATTTTCATTTTTTTCCCCCCCATTTGTCAGCACTTAAAAAAAAACCTGCATGTGCATCTCTGCTCTTAGGAACATATTTAAATGTAAAGATTCTTAAGCACCTTAGAACAAGATTCTTCAGGGAAAAATGTGGAAGCACAGTGAAATCTATTTGCTGAATTATTATGCCAATTAAAATAGAATTTAAAAATATAGGGAGAGTACCATAAAAACAGAACCATAAAACTGTATGTTCTGTGTGATTGAAAGAGATCCTCTGGTTATTGTTTTCCTCAATAAAGACTCACAATACCTACTGTCTTTATAGTTATCACATAACTGTGTGTTCTAATGAATCAGATGTTTGCAAAATATTTTGCCTTAAAATTATGTATGTTGTGAGAAGTAATCAATATTTCACATAATATAAAAACTGTGTCATCAAGTGAAATCATGATATGATTTCAAAACAAGAACCAGAAAAGAAGGTACTTTTTCAAAAGGCATCTAGTTAAAATGTCTCATCTATTGCTGTAAGAGGTTGTAAATTCTAAAGAGGTCAAAACCTAGTAGGCATATTCATGAAAGAGGAGGGATCCATCAAGTTTTAGTCAACACTACCATCTCAAAAAATCATTGAAGTATGGACTGGTGAGGGAAATACTATTGTATGTTTACCTTGCACTTATACTTTTGCCGAAACATCCTTTTGATTTGAGCTCCTCATAGTTCTAACTTAGAAGTCAGGTTATGTATTAGGACAGAGTGCTGCAGACAATGTCTGCAGGATGGGAACTCTTGAGAACCTGTAACAAGGAGGTATTACAGGTTGTGGTTGACCATCAGATGAACATGAGCTCCCAGTGCAGTGCTGTGACCAGAGAGCTGATTTCATCCTTGGTTGTATAGGACATCAGTCAGAACTAGGGAGGTTATATGTCCTTTTTATATGCAGCTGGTTTTATACTTTAGCCAGTTTTGGTGTCCAGAATATACTAAATACGTTGTTAAGTTGGGAAGAGTTTATAGAAATACGAATAGTGAAGTGTTAAAAAAAAGAAAGTTTAGATTGAAAGGCTTCAAGAGCTCCATCATACTTAGCTTCTTAAAAAGATAAAGGTAAGGTTTAATCGCCATCTGTAATTAACTATATGGGGAATAAATTTGGGGAATTCATTCAGTAGCATGACAGAATTTTCAGTCTAGCATATAAAAATAAAGATCAGTCACCCACTGAGGAAGAAAATTAAGCAAATGCAAACTAGAAGTAAATTAGAAATGTAAGTATTAAATCATTGTAATCCTTAGTAAAACACTTAATTTTTGAGTTAAGATTGTCGTATTGATTAGAAAATATGTCAACATAGATTGGGGTTTACCAAATTTGTTATCAGTGCTATGAAAAGGGAACTAATTTGTGTAATACTATTTCGCATTATATTCTACAAGTCTTTTAAGGACATGAATAGTAGAAATACACAGTATAACTATTCATATTTATGTTTATTCATATTTACGTTTGTGTTTTAGATTTATGGATAACCTACAAACTGAGGTTCTAGAGATAGAATTCCTTTCCTACTCTAACGGGATGAACACCATCAGTGAGGAGGACTTTGCTCATATTCTTTTGAGGTATACAAATGTGGAAAACACATCAAGTTACCTGGAAAACATGCGCTGCAGAATTCCTGAAGAAAAGGTAATTGTTTAGCTGGGACAGCAGTGGTCGACAGCATCCAGTCCCAGTGTCATCAAGACGAAAACATAACCTTGGTGGACTGAATGAGATGCTGTCACTGAATGAATTAGAACCAGGATTTTATTCTGGTCACAAGCTGTGTGTCTCATGTTTTTCAAATTACTTGGTGAATGAAAAGTAGAAGAGTAACTAGCATAGAATTATATTCCATAGGATTTAGCTAGTAGTATTTTGAAGCTTAGATAACAAAGCTTTATATTATATGAAAATTTAGTTTAAACAGCAAAAACTATAAGACTTGAAAAAGAGCAATTTTCTAGAAATGAGGCATTAAAAAACCTTTGTTTTTAATTCTCTTTTGTACTGCCACTGGAATATCACCTCTTTGGAAATAACATTGACACTCTTTATCTAGTTGTTTTATAGTCTTAATAATGGATCACTTGTATATAATTTTTGATGGGTATGTGGTTCTTATTAATGGCTGAAGAAATAGAAAAGATAATAAAAACAGTAAAGGTCATAAGGTAGATAGTCTTTCAGTTGCTTAACAACAAATGTGTTGTCAGAAGTATATCTGAGAGAAATACAGTGGCATCAAGATTCCCATATATATGGAAATATGAAAAAAAAAACCAAAACACTTTGGGGCTTGTATAACAGCAATTATACAAGTATCACTTGGGTAACTGAAAACCACTGATAGTCATAGGTATAGAGAGATACTTCTCTGAATGACAAAGGTGAAGTTGATTAAGTGAATATGAATACACTTCTTTTAAACGCACGGAAGTATTCTCTGAAAGTCATTTCTGAGTCTTCCAGTGCCACTGTTCGGATAGCAAGCCTTCCACAGTAATTTCCTCTTCTTGATTTTTGGTGGGACCATCAGCCAAGGAAAACTTCCATGCAAAAAGCTGTGTCACTTACTTATGGGTTTGCTTATGCTGCGTTCTGGAAATATCCTGGCATTTGACCAGTGCCATGTATCTCTGTCATATGCTATACCTCCATGAAGTAAAACAAGACGCTGCCATTTTCCACAGCTCCATATCACTGGCTTGTTAAATGTGCTGTCAGAAGAGTAGAAAAAGTGACATCTCTTGTGCTAACCACAGGCTTTTGAGAATGGGACTTTGACTCTTATTGTCATGGAAGTGTTGTTCTTATGTTTGCACTTTTTTACACCTATAATAATATTATAATTCTAAAATTATAAATGTTCTCTCAATTTTATTACAGTGATATGCTGCAATACTAATACAAACCAGAGGATTCTATTTAGAAGAAAAATTAGTCTAGCCTGTAAAGTAATAGGCAGCTACTCTCACAGTTGGCAATGTTAATCTTTCATGGAGCTGTATGTAGAAGCCTCTAAAGCAACATGATCATCATTTGGCATACTGCAGTCACGTTAAAATGTTCAGCTGGCATGCTGCCTGCCCACAGGATGTTTTCCTCCTTTTACTAACTAGATGCCAAGCAGTGATTCATTTAAGCTGGCATCTTGAATTACTACAAATATCAGTTCCTAAAGAAAGTCTATGCATTTCTAACAGCGTTGGTGCATTAATATAACAGTTTTCTTTGCTGTAGTAAAATATAATCTGTCTAAATAAATAAAAAAAGTTAAGTTTCCTTTTATATAGAAATAGTTTCCAGCAGGAGACTTCTGGGATATCTACATGTGGATAACTACCTATGTCAAAATGCAAAACATATGGTGAATACAAAATGTTATTACAGTTACCAGTTGAACAAAATATGGTTCTAGGAAAAGAGAGAAACAGTAGAATGCTGTATGCCAACTCTGAGTGTCATTTCACTGGTCCTTTTGCTTCTTTTGTGTTCTTTGCTGTTTTTCCCTGAAAGGAAGTAAACAGGTATGATTGCAGGTGATTTCAGCAGAAATTGTAGAACTCTTAAATGAAGCCAGATATTTTTCTCATTGCTAAAATGTTGTGGCATGTGGACAGTTTAGCCATGGACTGCATGTGTGGCTCCTTTATCTCCGTGCTTCATCTCCAGTGTCAACTCATGGCAACAGTTTCCATCACTACTGGAAACACAGAAGCTGCAAAAAGCGTGTTTGTAGACCAGTGGTTTTCAGGTTTACCTGTGCAAGGGCTACTTTACATCTAGACTGATCATCTGCCCTCTGGTTACATGGAAAGAGCCAGGACTATTGCAGTAGCCTGACCTCTTACTCTTACAGCATCTCCCACATTCAGAGTCTTTACAGACAAATCAGTGCAAATTACAGGTTTTAAAAAATCATTGTGAACCGAAAAATGTCAGCTCAAGACTTTGATGGCTATTTTCTATTATTACCATTTTGTCATAATACCTGAGGGTCCTATCTGGGGACTGGAATTTCACCAATCTAGGTATTTGACATGTAAAAACTATTCTAGTCCCAGAGAGTTTTCAGTCTAAACAGAGTACAAAAAAACAGAACTTGGAGATAAACTATTAGATGTCAAATGCAATGAAACAAGAACCACCATATTGGTTAGTATTAGTAAATTAAGCTTTTAAGATAAAACTTTAAGGAAGAATAAGGAGGTGGTTCTGCTTGTGTCTCTGAGAGTTTCCTCCCAATTGTAAAGGGTGAAAAAGAGAACAAATACGCTTGTTTAGACAAGCAATTCATGATGGATAATGGGTCAAGCTCTCCAATCAGTTTATAAATCTTAGCTAGAGCTTAGACAGGACCACTTAAACAGTGGTTTACATCTCGGGTGGGTGCAGGCCTATTAGTCTTTTATTCTAACAATATTATGTTGCTCTCCACATTTAACACAGTACTTGCTGCCTCATACAGATTTACACCCAAACTCTGCCATTTTATCCTCTACCACAAACCTACTTCAGTATGTTTTCTGTGTTCCACCGTACCATAATGGTTATGTATACCTTTGAGGAGAGACATAGATCAAGATCTTAGTTTGAACAGAAAGGCTTGCAGGTCTTTATATAGTCTTTCAGAGAGAGGTAGTTAAATAGGCTAAAAGGATGAAAGCAGACAGAAGAATAGCCAGGAATGATAGAGGAGGCCAAGGAGATGAAGGTTTGCTGAAGAATGTCATCCCATGTTCAGAGTGGCTGACAGACCATGGAGAATGAGATATAGGCAATGGTCCTGGCATAATTCAAAGTCTCTGTTTAAGGTCTCTCTCAAAACTGATTTAGAGATAGTTTATCAGGTCTTTGGATTTGTAGCTGAGAGAAGAGCAAAACAAATACTATAAGGAGAGAAAAAAAAAATCTCTTTTAAAAACAGCACTTTCAGAGAAGCTTCCACAGAAAATATTCTGAAGTCTGATTCAAAATACTTTTTTAAAAAGCTGGACAAACCCTGCAGTGCTTGATACTTGGAGAATCAGCTGAAGAGACTAGGTGTCTAAATCTGTATATGTAAAAACTTCACCATAAAATACAGAGCTTAAGTTAGATCATAAGATGTATTAATTAATTCACTCAATGTATTTATGTGAGCACACACATACATATCATGAATATTAGTTTTCAGATTTTCAGTATTAAACATATTCCAATATTCATACAAACCTAGGCTCTTATTCTCAACATTAACTGTCGTATTGTAATAATCCTGGAATTCTTAAAGATTGCCTTTAGCAATGGAACAATACTTTTGACTACTTTATGGGTAAGAATTGCTATCCGTTGCAGTGACAAAGAGGAAAGACATCTTAGATTCCTCAGGAAACTCCAGTTCTTTATTGACTTTCAGTACAAAACTCTGGGTTTTTTTTTTTTTTTTTCAATGGGTGTAGTATCCTTAAATGAATTAGAGGTATGTAACTTGCAAGGTTTATTTACTCAGTTGTCATCACTACTGATAATTCTTATGGTGCATATTGTTCTTCTGTTTTTTTAGGGTATCACATTTGATGAGTTTAGATCATTTTTCCAATTCTTGAACAACCTGGAAGACTTCACAATTGCAATGCAAATGTATAATTTTGCAAGTCGTTCCATAGGTCAAGGTAAGTATATTTTTATAAAAGTCAGTTGATAAATACACAGAACTATTGACAAAAATACAAAAATGTTTTGTAATTCCTAATTCGTAGTTTTAATGTCTCAGGTAAAAGGCTAGGACTTCAGCTTTGAGAGGAGAAAGCTTAATGATATCATAAGAGATATAATAAAGCTTTACAAAGTCAGAAGCGGTGGATAAACTGAATGCAGAATAGTTGGTAACCAAATCCTACAATACAGGAGTTAAGAGGCACTTGATGACACCGATGAGAGATCAATTTAAAGCAAACAAAAGCATTTCTTTACACAGTGGGCGTCTGGAATCTGGCCTTCTGTGAAGGTTGTAGAAGGAAACAGTGTCAGAAGATCCAAAGAGGGATTAGACAGATTTTTGAACAAATCAGTAAATGGGTGCTGAGAGAGCTAGGCACAGTTGAGATGCTTGGGGAGTGCAAGATAAAGAGTATGTGAAGTGGTCAGACTTGTGTGCTCTCCTCAGGTAGCATCTTCATGGGTCTGACACAGTAACACCAGCATAGTCCTACCTCATGTGGCCTTACCAAAGGAGTACATTGTTCTCTCTGTGCTCTATTCCTTAGGTTCTGTTTCAGGTCGATTAAGTAGATGCCATCAATATATATGTAACATAGGTTTAATTATAATACAATTTCCTATTTTTATTATTACACTTAGTATAGTATGTGGATTGTCATCTTTTGTGTAAAATAATTGATACCAACCAATTAAGCAGTATCATTTTATATCAGTTGAGAACTACTTGGCTTCAAATTGTTAAATTCAATCCTAATTTTCACATTTTCTTATTTTTTGAGTGTTTAAATGTGAAAACAAGTTAAAAGTTTACTTGTATTTCATAATATCTTGTCCACAAAGTAGGATTAATGTATTTTATTTTTTCTTCTGATGTTCTTTTTATGCAGATGAATTCAAACGTGCTGTGTATGTAGCCACAGGTGTGAAGCTTTCACCACATTTGGTAAACACAGTATTCAAGATTTTTGATGTTGACAGAGATGACCAGTTGAGTTATAAAGAATTTATCGGCATTATGAAAGACAGACTCAATCGAGGGTTTAGGGTAAGGATTCTAATTTTGATAGTTATCTTAGTTGACTTTACTACTTACCACTACTTACTTTAGCACCTGTAGCAGCAGTAGGTTGCAAACCAGCAGTGCATATGTTTAAAGACATATGTTTTATAGAAATCCTGAAGCAGCCTGTAAGATAAATTCCTTCTTAAATTCTTGATTTTTTTTTTTTTATTAGAAAGCAATACATAGAGGACATAATATACCTTTTATAGTACACAAATCAAACTGAAGATGAGAAATGCTCTGCGTACTGATATTTCTTCTCTATTGTGTGATTGATAGTTGGGCATTAATAATTTTAACAAGGGTAGCAATTATGTCTGGGTTGTTTGCAGGGAAGAAAGAGTTTGTCTCTCTCAAACTTGGGCAGTTTAGTTAAAGATCAACCATTGGCTCTTCTAAAACGTTATTCAAAATACAAAGTGTTGATAATGACTGTTGGAAAGAGTTGTAGCAGAAAATAATTTTAATTTTCAAATAAAGATTTAGTGAAGTGGTGCTGAACAGTGCTGTATTCTAGTTCAAAGTTGCGTTTGATAATTTAACTCTGTATCTATTATATTAAATTACAAGAAGCTAGAGGGCAAGAAAATACTTGCAGAAGATTTTCATAGGGAGCAAGCTTGTAAATCATGCTTTGCCCTTTAGATGAATGTGTAGGCCTTGCTGCCCTCTTCAGGTTCTGTGTAGTATAGGGGAATTTTATAGCAGCAGAAAAATTTTTATTCCGGGTTTGATCAATAGAAGTCACATTTTTTTTCTTCATATGAAAGGTGTTAACATTTTTAACTAAATATAGAATGGTTTTCTTACTGACAACCTAATCCCTTAGACATAAACTTTATTATAGTTCCTAAATTCATATTTCAGTATGTTATTTCTGTAATGTAATTTTAGTCATTTTTGGTTAGCTTCCTAAATATAATTTTAGAAATTTCTGTGAGGTGGTGTTGAGTCTAATAGTGTACTTGTTATTTTTGTAATATTATGATCAAGTGTAAAATGTGGATAACCACCACTGCATTTGTAAAAAACTTATTACCTTGTTGGTCCTCAATTCCTTTTATTATGATGTGGGAATGATGATTGTTTCATAACTGTTTCAAGATGTTCAGTTACATGTTTTAATTGTTTACTAATTGTAAGTGTGCAGTCTATGTTAATTTAACCAGAAGACAGTCTGCTTACTAAGTAATTCTTGTAAATGTATTACATGTTTCTATTTCACAAAATGCATGACAGAAGTCACATATAATCCTTAAGAATTTATATCATCCAGCACTATCCAGTCTTATACATGTATGTTTCTTTTGCCTAAGCCCCTATAAAATATTCCAATGGACTGTAAAAGAACTATAAAGAATAGCCAGGGATGTTCAGAAGAATATCACCATCTTTCATAAGTTATATATCTAATTTTAATTAGATATATTTTCCTGGATTGCATAGGAGATGATCATGATTTGGTCCTATAATTCAGTTATATTCAGACATGTCTGCATGCAGACTTGTTAGATGATTCAGAAAAATGCATTCTGTTTACTAACCTGTAGTATTCCAAGACAATTACAGTACCAAATTTAGAAATTACAATTTCCAGTAAGTTTCCGTAAGTGTCACACAAAGCTGATTTTTTTCAAGAGTGGGTAATAGTAAAAACTTTGCAAAAATTTGCCTTTTTAGTTTAATAAACACTCCTCACACACCCCAATCTTGGTTGAGAATGAAGGGAAGAAGACACATAAGAACCTTTTGCCCAGAACGAATTGGTCGAAAGTGTCATTAATTGCTTCCTATTGTTTGTGCATTAAACATTATGCAGTATTTACTGTGGCCAGAAGAAGTAAAAGTTTACATTCTTGCTCCTACAGTGGAGGGCTCAAATGTTGTCTTGTGCTAAGTCAAAACTAACAAATCACTAACCTTTTCTTTGTTAGTAACTGTGTTTTGAATCCATATTAAGATTTGGCAAGTTCCAGATAAAAGAACATTATAGCTTCTGCGGTATTTTGTAGCAACATGGAAATTTTTGCCATGAGAAATTGGAATCTCTTTCTAAAGTGTAAATGCCTGATTTTAATATTAAGTAACCTGCAATTAATGTCTGCCCAAATCAACGTAATCTCTGATTATCACTCTAAAAGCACCTAAAAATAACAGTTTAAAATTGGCCTATGATTTGAAGCATGACTTTACAATTAATGTCTTATACTTAGTAAATTAACTTTTTTAAAAGTTGTATTACTAAGATGTTTGCTCAGAAGAATCTTGAGGGCATCACAGAGCTTGGTACTAGGACCCTATATTTTAGAAAAGGGAATTTTGTAGTTATATAGTCTGACTAAAACAAATTTAAGGGCAAAGAGTTACACAAGTCCAGTGAAACTGGAGTTCTGAAAGATCAGTCAATACCTACTGGCTTTGACCTATTTAAAAGCTTAGCCATAAATTTGAGAAAGGTCAGGTACTGCCCCTTACAGGAACACAATAAGTATTAATTTTAACATACATTTTAAATATGTTTTTGGAAAAGTAAATGTCTCAAAAGAGTTCATAAAATGAAATTTCTCTCTTTCTGGAATATAGTATTGTAATCTGAAACCTTTATTGGTTTTAGTAGTTTGAAACATAGTAGTATATTAAGCTGCCATCAAGTGGTCGGTCAGAGTATTGCCATAAACTCATTAAAATGTGCAAACATTAAAAGCTTTAATTTTGCTTGCTGTTTGGTTTTAAATAATTATTTCCTTTATATATATATAAAAATTCAAAATTATATAATAATATTCACTATCCTTTATAAATTCCATTATTAAACTGAAAGATTTGGAACTTAATGACTAAATGATAAAAATTTTACCTAGCACATATTGTACTGTATCTTCTAGCTATTTGTCACTTAAAGCCATTTTTTGTATTTTCACGATACCGTTGTCTTATGCTTACTTCTGGCTGCCTTCACATGTTGTCTGCATCTGTGCACTTCTCCATCTTCTGCTCCACAGGGCTACAAACCTATACAGAGGTATACTACTTTCAAATCCTGCGTGAGGAAGGAACTCTATAGCAGATAAATGACGGTATGTGTTAGCCGCCCAGTCTGAGTGTGCTGGCATGCTTGCAGGAATGGCTGAATGTTAAACTGTCACTGCTGTGTGTCCTGTTCCAAAATTCAGGAATAGGTTATCCGGCTGTAAGGAATGTAGTAGTTCAAAGTGTCACATTGTGTTTTTGACTTAAGCGATAAATAGAATTTTGTTCTGGAGTTGGCAATGACTGACTCACGCTGTCACTGCTTTGTAAGCCAGCTGCAGTTTTGTACTGTGTTTGGAACAGTGAAAAGGATTCTTTCATAGTTTCTGTTGCTGTTTTCTGTCTGTCCTGTGACCACGTTTTAGTAATTTTTCAGATACCTATAGCTAATAAGTATTTACCAATGAAGATTGTAAAGGCAGATTTCTCTTTCTGAGAGACTCTTAGTAACTTGATTCTACTTTGATTTATGGTTATGCTTTTGAAAACAATAATGTGGTTTTGGCACTATTAATGCTGTACCAGCAATTTTCAAAAATAAGCCCTGCACCCACACATGACCACCATGCCTGTTTCTGCGTATCCACCACATGAATATTCATTCTTACAATCTGTGGGTTTCAGTGTGGTGTAGATATTCTGAAGCCACAGTGTGAAACTTTGTCACACGGTGGACATGGCAGCACTGTGTTAGCAGACATTTCTTTTCTTACATAAAGCAAGAGTTTGCTTCTTTGCAATTTAAGGTTTTGGTGCCCGCACTTTTTTCCTGTTTATACTTACAGACTTTGCAGTAGTTGCTCTGAAGACTGTTAACGTCTAATGTAGGTCCCACATGTACTGTTTTGCAGTGGGGAGGAGCAAATCGACGCACACCATGACAAACAAGGCCTTGCAGCCAGTGGTCTGGTATGAGTGCTCCTGAGCCAGGAGGGTTTGACTGTCGTTCCCCCACTGTTTTTAATTCTGAGGCAGAATATTAAGCTGAGATTTCTTGTCAAATAGGCATCTTCAGACGCCTCCATACATCAGCATATTGGCATCTGACCTTTCCTATTATATGCCTCTCTGAGCACTTGTATGCCACCAAGTGTGCTGGGTCTCTGGTTGAAATCTTTCTTCCCTATCTCTGAAACAGCATGGCCAGAAAGTGAGGAGTGTAGCTACTCAAAGCAGGAAGTTCCTTGGATCCTGTTTATCTGGGGTGATGGCTGGCTTCCAGCATAGTGGAAAAGCCAAGTCTGTAAGGATGGGAGATGGGCTCCATTTTCCCAGACTGGTAGCTCACCAATCCCACTGATGTTTTCCTTTTGTTAGACCCATGTGCAAGATAGGTAAGGGAGAGGGAATATATCTAAACTATTGACCTATTCCTGCATGTCATGTACCCCAAACTGTATTCTCTGGGACTCTTCATGCCTTTTTTTTTTTTTTTTTTTTTTTTTTTTTCCTCCAGTTAAGTGTCACATCTTTTGAACGGGTTGGTTCTTTGAAATTCAGCAGTAAAGATGGCTTGGGGCACATCCAGGCTTACATAGATGATTTGTCCTCCTAGAAAGTAATGAGTTCCATTTGATCTGCATACACTTTTCTCATGTATATAACATTTAGCATCCATAAGATTATTATTTTTATTAACTATTCACATTTTTTAAATTATACTTCCTCTTTATGAGTATAAACCAAATACTGAAGCGTTGTACTAATATGTGAGGAACAGAAAAGGAAATTTGATCTCTACACACAAAGTGTCTGATTTCGGGAAGTGGGAATGTGTACTGGGAAGTATAAATGACTAATGAAAGAGTTAAACCAACATTTTAGTAATCCAACTCACCAGTCACATGAGGGAATTCATGGCTTTGAATTAATTTTATGTAATTTCATCTCTTTGAAACTTTTGCCTCTCAAAACTTCCTTTCTTTTTTTTCCCATGTCTTTTTAAAAATAATTTTTAGGAGTACTTTGTCTTTTTGTTCCCACTAATTCTGCCACAATCTACATTGTAGTTGCCTATCAAGTATTGTTTAAATGGTGAACTTTTCAAGATATGGAACAGCTCTCACAGGAAAGTGGCAAAATGCTATAGAGTCATGATGCTTTCCTGATAATTTTAGTGAAGAATATGTGACCAAGTGGAACAAAGTGCAGTGACACAAAAGAATCCAATATCTATTCAAGCCTCATAAAATTAGTTTTGTGACTAAAAGAGAGACTGTGGTAAAAGCATCAACTTTACATACATCAACACCTTGACAGAGGTCTGAATTCAGGCAATAAATTAATTTATTCATCTTTTGAGATGGAGTAAACTGGGAGAAAAATATACAGTGGAGATTTATAAAGGGAGATTTTGTTCACTCTGTATAAAGTCATTCTCATGAAAAAAAAATTAAAGTTGAATAATAGTATGTCTGCACTATGCACTGGGAGACAGGCAGAGAAACCAGGTTAGTTCTCAGTGCGCTGACTCGGCCCCAGGCAGCCTCACTGATGCAGTGTGGAGGTTGCTGGTTATTTACCCTGCTCTTCCCACCTGGAGCTCTTGGATGCTCTAACAAGGATGCTTCTGGTACCTAAGCTTGCCTGTGTAGGTCAGTATCAGGTATCTGTTCCCTGTGTACTCAAGAATGCAAGTGTAAACCTCAAAGATAAAAAATTCTTCCTTCCCTGCAGACACATTAGTGAGATACTGCCCTTCACTTGAGCAGCTGTTCCTTGTCTCTTGTGATGAACTACAGTAATGTATCCAGTTGTTGGCTATTCCGAGTTCCTTTTTGTGCAAAGTGTTACTTAACTTACAGTATTTCTTCAGATTTGTTGTAAATATTTATTAAAGTTTGTTGCAAGTGTCAGTTAATGGAAATGGAAACTTTAGCTGAAACACGTGAAGTGATTTGGAGTTAGTTACTGTGGAGAACGGAAATAATTCTGTATTTGCCATACAGTGTGGAGTGAAAGTGAATTTACATAATTTTAAAAATAATTATTTTGTAGTTAGTTTATAAATCAAAAAGATAATAAAGATGGAATCATTGGAGATTTGAAATTGAACATTTTCAATCGAGTAATTACATTTCAGTCTGATATGCAAAAAACCCACATGAATATATGTGAAATACAAAAACCTGCTGCAATTACATCCCAAAGTTAGGTGCAATACAATACTCTTAATTTTACTGTGTCCCAAATATAAACACACAGGTCACTTTCTGTGCTTTGATACACTTTCTGTGGCAAAGGTAGAACTTTGATGAAAGGGATTAAGATACTTGGCATACGTACCATAGATTATACCATACTTTGAATCTGCACCCTGAAAAGGGATAAAAGATCGTTGTGTTGTACATTACGTATCTCTGAATTGCACTAGTGCAATTTACTTAACAGCATAAAGAATGTTATACCCTTAAATAATGAAAATCTGTCCTTGAGGAACAGCTTTCCAAGCTCTGTGTGGTCCAAACAGCTGGCAGTGTTCTTGGAGAGCTTGTCTCTCTGCTTGCTCTCCCTGCAGGGCACACAGCCTGGCTCGGCATCGGCAGGTATGCCTTGGCATATACTGTAGGGAAAACAGAAAAAGCATGTTAGCAGGGAACTGCCAAACAGAGCTGAGAGGAGAGCCCTACTTCGAATGCCTTACGGAAGGGTGATCTAGGAAATTTCAGACAAAACCCTTTCAGAGTTCGTTTCCAAAGAAGGATGCTAAAGGCCGCCCTGAAGGAGGGATTCAAGTCCATTTGAAAGTGCTGTTTGTTAAACCATTTGTGTGCTCGGTGACTGCAAGAGATATTTAAGATATAATTCCAATTTTGTTCACTTCTAAAGTATTGGAAGGAAATACTACATGTCACAATTGTAATTAAGTAATCTTAAGTCATCTAGTAATGAAGTTGTGTGTCGCAGTAATTTATTAAGAATCTTAAGATTTTTCATTAAAAGAACTGTTTCCTAGATGTTCTGAATTCTGTGGGGTTTCTAAATTTCTGATTCAGTGTTTTTAGGAAGTAATAGTTAATAGCTAAAGCCAGTGTCTTGGGACCGATTGAGGAAGCAAGCTTCATTTTGAGAGACATGAAAGACCAAAGTATGGATTCAGAACATCATTTCCAGTGATGTTTCAACAATAACTTGCTGTCTTCTGCAAATACTTCATTCAGTCAAGTGAGATTAAGATTTGTCATGTAGTTAATATTTTGAAAGCTTTTAATTTCCATAGTTTCCTGATATACAGCGGTTGAATACATCTATCATAAGAGATGGCTTTCAGAAGAAAAACCCTGAAGCGGCTGTTGCTTACTAGTTGAGACTGCTGCTTACCTCTTCTCTAAAGCAGATAAAGTCAGAGGTGTGTGATAGGCACGCCTGCCTTACTCATCTTACAAAAGTAACTGGAAGTTACAAAACCCAAACTTTTGATCCTAAACCTGACTAGAACCTTAAAAACACATCTGGATAGAGTGGGAGGAAAATGTTCCAGTGAAATGTGAAACCATTGCACAGTATGTGGACAAAATGTTCTTTCTATGGATTTGGTACACTGAGAGTAGACACAACAACAATGCATACTTTACAAATAAGTAGAAGAACAGTTAATGTACTTCAGTGTTTCTTTTACTGATTTTCATGAACATTTCTCTGAACCGGTTTCATAAAAAAAAATAAATGTGTGTCTTAAAGCACTGGTAGATCAACTGAATGTGCTTTTGTTAAATGCAATGCATTTTGCAAGTAATGCATTTTTTTTCATAAGATTGACTGTAAATCTCAACTAAATTATGTGTTCATGTAAGTATTTTTTCTAATATTTCATTTAAATTCTGGATTATATACTGCTGTGGATTAGATTGTTTTCAGAATACTTACAACTTCTGCATAATATTCTATGCTTTTTAATTATACAAGATGAGTAACAAAAACAAATGGAAAATAGGCTTTACTCTCTAATGGTTGGGTTTAATATACTGCAGTGTCACAATATTTTTAACTTCTTCACTTGGTTCAGCGAAAACCAGCTGTCAGATAATCTCTCACCTTGACACTGTAACCATTCACCTCCAGATTCTGGACTTAATTTCTAAGATGGGCTACAATTCAAAATTACTTATAAATGCTTCTGTCTTATCTACAGTTACAATTCCTGTTCCTTACTTAGTCTCTTTCTGCAGCTGATGTAATATTTAGCCCCTCTCTGTCCTTCTGTACTTACTATCAAAATAGGCTTGTGAAGTTAGGAATAGTGGAAGAAATAATGAGGTCCAGCAGTAACTACAGACAGCATAGAGTCTAGTGACTCTCCCAGGCCAGCCTTTGGCCAATATTCCTCTCCATTCAGTGGGCACTTACTAATGTCAATGAACTACATTGCAGTTTAGGATTAAGGTAACCTAGTATAAAGAAGCTTTCATATCATCTGCCTGTTTTGTATTTGGCTTTTGCTAATGCCTCAGTTTCATGAACATCAGTAGTTTTCTATACTTTTTATTTGGTGTTAGAGGTGAACTTTCTAGTACAGTGTTGACATGAAGAGGCCAGAAACAAAACTAGAGAGCAGGACTTACCTGAATAAAGAGGAAGTCCTTTCTTACAGCTTTTAATATACACAGGCTATTTGTTGAAAGCTAACTCTGTGCTGTGAGGTGAGGATGCATTCTGAACACTTAATCTGTGTACGGATTTATAACCCTCATTTTACAGAAGTAGTTCAGAGCCACAGAAGTATTTGATCTTTCCTGATTTTTGTATTAAAACATATATCTAGTTTATATGAGTCTGAGTCAAATTTAATGTAATATTAAGAAATTTGGTGAACAATATCTTTTTCCAATTGTATGTTTTTTCACTTTTCACAGGAGACTCCAAAGTATGGTTGGAAAGAATATTACTCTTGTGTGATGACGGTAACCAGTGAACATCTCAGAGATCTATGGAAGCAATTTCGGAGACGAGATATGCTGAGATAAAGGAAGAAAGAAGGAATACCTGCACTGGTTAGAAGTATTTATTCCTATTAATTTTTAATGAAGAACAAACTAACCCAGGTGAATCATGAATCTTCCAGCTGCAGTAGGAAACACAGGACTTCTTTTCCACTTAATGTAGTGTTCATCATCTCTTACAACTGCTTTTCAGAATGTATTTTATTTAAACGATGAACTATCACCTGATTGGCAGAAGTGGTTTTTTTAAGAACACATTTTGAATACTACTTTTTATTATTTTGAGGTATGCTTTTCATTTAAAAGAAAACAAAAATAAGTTTTACACCTGGGTAGGAAAATGTTTTGGCAATGAAGAGAAACTGCCCATATCAGCTTAGACTGTGAATTTGCTTCCAGAAGAGCACTATTAAACGTTTGTGCTAAATTGATAATGAGAATACATTCAGTAACATAACAATTATATGAGTTGAATGTACAAATTAAACTCTTAGAAGCTAACAATGCTGTTACTTTAAAAAGAGTAAAGCTGTTTTGATTATAATGTGAATGATAGGTATTTACCTAGAAACAGTACTGTATGGACTATAATGGTCAGATTTTCCAAGTCTTACTATTATGTTTATTAATTTATCCTTTAAAAAAATAGTACAGATTTTAAGGTGTCTTACAAGCAGTGTGTTGAAGAAAAGTCAAAATGTTCAAATTTACATTAAGTAACACACACTTTGTAATATTTATTATAAATTCTATAGCCGTATGTATAAATTCACTGGTATATTTCTGGTAGAGTAAAACTTCATGTGTTTCTTGTGAATAATGCACTTTATATAAAAGTAAGACATAGCACTGAATAGAAATTATAGTTGTTTAATTTACTACTCTGGAATGCAGTATCTGAAAAATAGATAAATAACTCGTGTTTGTGTCAAACCAAAACATGAATGCATGCAGCAGTACAGAGAAACACTCACTAAGTAATATTATTTGAATATTATACATCAAATATTAGACATAACCTTTTTAAGGCTTAATTTATGGACACTACAGGCGATCAGTAGCCACCATGACCTTTCATGCCCTGTAGGTTTAGATGCTACTGAAACAGTGGTAAGGACACTGTTACATTTGGTTTTCATATTCTCTAATTTTCTTCTTTGCTATTCAGCAGCAGCGTTTTTCCTTAGTCACTTTCAAGGTGATTGTTTGGCAGTGTGAATTAAACCCAAACACACACACATTTCCTTATATCCTTCTTGAAAAGGTTCACTGGACATTAAATATTAGGAGCAATCTGTGCCTTGAAATATTTCTGGCTGAACACACACACACTAAAACTAATGTCAATAAATTATCATCAGAAAGGAAAACATTTGGTGGAGTCTGACAATTAAAACAGAACCAAAATAATGGTATTAAGTCTTTTATTACTCCAAATACCTGTAAGCAAACTTTCCAAAATTGTATTTAGAGCGCATGTTGCTCAAATACCATCTCGTATCACATGTGAATAGAAAAGATGTATAGCATCTGTGTAAGTACACCTACGTTCAGAAATGTTTAATTTATAATAAGATTATCTCTACTAAAAAAAAAAAAAAAAATGAAAAGGAAGATTTTTTTTTTTTAAGAAATTCCACACTGAGAATCTTAGGAAAAAGAAAAAAAAAAAAACAAAACAACGCTAGCTGTGGCTTTTATCTGAGAAAAAGCCTGTTTAGAAAGCTTTTGGAGGATGCTACTTTAGTTAATATTTCATGACAAATACTTACCAAATTTCCACCTTGGCATCCTTAAACTACCGACAACAAGAAAAATCAAGTAAATCGGGATAAAGACACAACAGAACATGGATAAGCTGCAATCCCTGTGTGATCATTTAGGGAAATAATTGTATTCAAAGTATCGTCTTGGTACGTGGAACTGTCTCACTGCTTCTTGTCAGCATATGCAAAACCCAGTTTGCTACTTCAGTGATGAAGGATGAAAAATGGGAAGAAAGGATAGGGAATTGTTGAAGGGGGTTCCCCTCCTTCCTCTTTATTCCCAGCTGCCCACTCAGTGATCCTCCCCCTTGAAGGAGGCAGCAGGGCCATCATCATTGTGCTCCTCCACTGCCCTAGGCAATAGTGCACTTTTGCTTTTATGGCTGGCTTGAGACAATTTTATCATTTTTCTATATCTTTCCTAACTGTAGTCAATATAAAATAGAATGTGAAAGTGTCAGGTTAGTTTTTAAGAGTATTTTTTTCTCATGTTTAATAATAACTTATTTAATATAAATATGAATATATGCGTATAATATTCTTGTTTATTTCAAAATAAATGCACTTGAAACTCATTTTCTTTGCAGTGTATATCATTCAAATTCTTTTGTCAGAAAAACAGGAATCTTTTTTTTGCATAACATGAATGAATGTACAAGCGCTTTGAATTTGAGCAGCACACCATTACAAAAAAATTGAGTTTTTTGCTTCTTTCAGTCATTTCTTTAGATAGCTTTGCTTTTCTGCCACAGAATTCTCTATAGAAGAGCTGGAAGTGCAAGGACAGACAGGTGAAAACAAGGCAGGGTAGTGGGACATGCCATCTGCTATAGAGGCACCCCTCGGCTAGGCTGCAGTCAGTGTGCTCAATAAAACCTTGTTCAAAATCCGCAAAATTCCTGGCAGCAGAGAAGAAGTGTATGCTGCAGCTAAATTATGTGGTAGTTGCGTACGTGAAGGATTTTTGTAAAGCCAGCTCTTGTTCTCTTCTGTAAGTTAAGAAAACAATATAAGAAGATACTCAGTGGATGCTTAGGAACTGCCCACTGGTGCCCAGACCAGCTGTAAATTGTGGTAAAATGGTAACTATTAAACCTGGAGCTTTGGGTAGCTTTGTGGTACTAACTCTTGTCTGAGCTCTGAATTCCTGGCTGCCAGCAGAATATCCCATGCTGTGAGCTGCTCCCTGCTAATCTTCTGTTGTTTAAAGTCACACTGGCAATTTCCTTCCTTGCACATTTTGACAGTAAGTCGATACAAATTACTTGCACTGCAAGTGCATGTATTATATGCCATAGAAGAAAGTTAACAGCCTGAAGAAAAAGAAATACTACTTAACAGTGACTTGCAGCATATTGTAGAAAACCAGGCAGTACAACCAACAGCTGTTTCATCCTCCCTTTTCCACATAAATATCAGGATAAAGGGTGCTTTGAAACAAAATGAGAAAAAAAAATTACAGAGGAATTTTGTTTTTTCACTTTGCTTTGATTCAACATTGCATATATTCTTTACATAGTGATGCATTTTGCTGTCTTGTCCCACTGAGGACACTTTCAAGACAGTTGTTTACAAAAGAACTGCAGACTAATACTTGCAGAAGGAAAAGAATCAGACCAAAAGCTCATTATTCAGAAAATGAATCTCAAACAAAGCTAATTTGTAGCAATACCAACTCTGAACTCTCCTTAAAACCAAGCCAAAACTAAAATGAATGTTTTCTAATATATATGAGGTCTGAACGTGCAGTGTTTTTCCATATATCTGAAAATCCATTAAAACATTTGGCACCCTGAACCTGTCAGTAGATGGTGCCCTTGCATATATTATGTTGTTCTTACACAGATGATTAAATACACGGGGTTGTATTTAATCTTGAATGTGTAATCTTAATTTTCACCAGTTTCACTTATAAATTCCTCTAACAGGGGAACATTATTATTGGTTAGGAGCATTCCATAAAAACACCACTACCCACTTGAAAATTTTAATATAAAATACCTAATTTTATATTTATATATACACATATAAAAATATATATAAAAAGTACACAGGCCTGAGTTACCTATTTATATGTTCACCTTAATTTAAAAATAAATGAAATTAAATTAATATCATTGCATGGGAACTTTTCCAGTTCCTGTTTCATAGCTATCTGTTGCAAGTAACTGTTCAATTCGTTTTCTTCTGACAATAAATTTATAACCCTTCTCTTTTTTAAGCAGTCATACCTATATGCCATTTTTTTAGTAAGTGGTTTTACTGTTAAGTGGGTTTAGCTGATTTGCATGAGGTTTGAAGTTCTGGTTTGAAACAATGAACTTTAACCCTGATTCAGAAGCTGCAACCTAGATTCAAACAAGGGTAGTGCTGTAAAAATAAACTTCCAGAGATTCAAATCTCTGCAGTAAAATGCCGAGTCTGAAGTTAGCCTCCTAGGCCCTCCAAAAAACGTGTGCAGGGAATTGCACGAGATCCAGAAATACCACAAACTGTTTTAAACTGGCAAACCAGCTAAACTAGTTTACCAGGCAGTACTCGGTATAGGGACATCACAAGATGTTGCTCCTGGGAGCTGTGCGTTCTCCTGGGCTTTCTTTCATGGCCGGTAGCATGTGTGTGACGGGGGGGGGGTGAGGTGGCTCAGTCAGAAATTAACACAGCCAAAAAAATCCACACATGTATGTACAGATGTCATTCAATGAAAACAGCTCCCTGTTACAAAAGTGCCGGGGGCAGCATGTGAGAGGGGGTGGAAATAAATACATTGCCTGAAGCAGAGATGAAGAGCAGGATAATGGCAGTCTGGATTCAGAGAGACCCGAGCTGCTGTGGTAGCTGCTATCAAATTATGCTTCTTGCCAGAGACAACGTAGCTTGTAAAAAGACTATGTCCTTACGCTTGGAAACTGCTTGAAAAAACCCAGTACGAGGGGCAGGGACTGGAATCCAGAAGTCCCTGTTTTGGGCTGATGACCCGCGAGGCTGCCAAAGCATTCACTTTCTCTGGTCCCATGAATCTTGCATCCTTTTCTGTATCATTTTATAAAGACAGTGGACAAATTGCTGAAACTGGCCTACATGCTGGCAATTAAAACACTTCCATGGGAAGTGGAAAGAAAGAAATTGTGGCTGTCACTGCATTTTGTGCAGAGATACGTTCTCAGGATCCCCAGCAATGGAAAGCACAAACATGGGAAGGTATCTCATCCCTGGACAATGATCGCACCTGGATGAGTGACCAGCTGAGTTGCTCAGCCTTGTCAGGGCATATCAGGGCATTAGCTGTGCAAAAGTGGGTTTAAATTGCCTGATCTCAAAAAAAAAAAAAAAAAAAAAAAAAAAAGAGGCTGTTAGACTGGTAGTTTTACAGTTAGATGCCTACTTTTGGAGTCAACTGTTAAGCCACATAACTTCTACTCCAAAGAGCAGAAACCGCTGGATCGATGCACGCAGCATGGGATGTCACTAGGTGAGATAAGGTTTCTTACATACAGCTCTTTAGGGACTTTCTACTCCAGGGGTCGTGATTTTTTTGTCCAAGGAGAGTCGTGCACAGTAGAACTGGTTTAAATTTTTCACATTTTTCCCAACTTGAGTGGCAAAAGGGGAAGCAGCAGGGGAGTGAAAAGGTAAGTTAGTAAGTTTGGGGGAAAACAATGCAATGAAAAAATTACTGCTGAAAGTGACAGAAGAGTGGGTGGATAATAAGCCCAAATACGACTTTAAACAATTTCCCTGAAAGCAGACTCTGACGAACAGAGTATTGTATCAATCCAGGGGCAGCAATCAAGACATTCCAAGAAAGCCTTCATTACTTGAGAAGGAGCTAAATGAGCCTCTCCTGTGGAGAACCAGCCAAATCTCCACATTGCGGAAAAGTAACAAAAAAGAAAATTAAATCATATGACAACAGTTAGGTTTGGGCATCCGAACAGTTGCAAATAATAAAGTACCTAGCTAGGATGAAGGGAGAGCAAGAGGATGAATACACGTGGACCAACCCTTCAATTAAAATACATTTGACAGCTAGACTGAAACTGGAGAGGCTACTCAGCTGCTTGTTTTCACGTAGCTGGGAGCCATGACTATACACAGATGGTACTTGACTCCAGCTGGGATGCAACACACATTTTCTAAGTGATACCTTAGGTCAGAACTGCTGCAGAGAGATTTCTTTTTCTGTATGGGGTAAGTGTGGTCCAACACCCAAACATTCTGGAGAGAAGCAAGTGGCACAGTCGGTGCCCTGAAGGTCAGAGAGCATCCCTGTAGGGCCCCTGGTTCGCCGACTTGGTGCCGTGTGCCCGTATGTCTCTGTGTCTGTCTGTATTCCTGCTTCTATCTGCTGGTCTGTGTATTGCACTGGTGCGAAGGCAAATATTTATACTCCTGTCCTGTTGTCCCTCCTCCTCTCGCTGCGTCACTGAATATGTGGGACATGGGGCAGGAGAGAATCAGATTGCTTACACAGAGGACAAGATGTTCAGTCTGTAAGTTACCAGTCAGATTCACTGAAAAATACTTATTAAATTAAGAGCATTTTGCTTGTGTGTTTATTTACCATTCACTGTATTCAGTATATACTTAGTTTGGGATATTTTAATTGACCAAATAATGAAAGAAATACTGTGCTTAATCAGAAAATTATGGGATTATAAAATGAATCATGCTTTATCATTTTCAAACTTCTAGCACAGTAAATCTGTGACATCTTAAAATGATCTAATCACATGGAGTTTCATTTTTCCATACTTGGTTGTTGTAATGGTAGTCTTAAGAGGTCAATGTAATTTTATGTGGTGTTACTAGCTACTCATCATAAACTATGAATGGACCATAAATGTGAATGTCTATGACCAGCGTTGGATATTAAATCCACAGGAGCATATGTGAATTCTGAAGCAATTCCTTGACAAATGCTCTCTAACTACAGTACTGTGGTATTCAAATCACGTATACATTAAGAACACTGTTAATTTGCATAATCACTTGTCTTTTGTTTCTTTTATGGATCATTTTATGACCTTTCAAACTAGTTCAAAACTGAGCTCTGAAGACACTCTACACTAAACCATCAATAACAATTTTTCTCTGCCGTATACTAAACATCCTCCCTTGCTTGAGATTTCCTTCTATCATGCTGCCATTACTTTTAAGATTGATTATGAGGAACTGCTTATCACATATTAATAAAATACATTCAAGCCACCTGTGTAGATTCATTAGATGTGTACAAACCTTCTACTACCGTTTGCTCTAGATGGACGACTTGGTACGATCAGAATTTCCAGTGCAGTTTCTTCTTAAATGCACCGAAATGCCCTTAACAGCTATCCATGTACAGTGAGCACTGCAGACACGCAGCATGATCTGACTGTAATTTAAGTGTCAAAGAACTTTAATGTCGGCAATTAGAACCACAGTGTAATTACTTGTCTAAAGTTGGTTCAACGAAGCAGAGCCCCTTAGACTTGTACAGGAGTAGTTTTTAAGTAGGACTCATTGGTAGGGTACCAAGATGACCTCCTTTGGAAAGAGGCACTGTTTGCACTCCCCACTTCTGTATCTGACCCCAGCTGGAATGTGCCTGTCAGTGCATGTGGAAGGAGAGAGCGCCTGCTTCGTTAACGTCATCCAACCAAGGACTCGGTCAAGTGGGATGACAAGGAGAAGGGGGGAAGCCAAGCATACAGGGGTCCAAACTCCACCACACAACGCTCGCAGAGATGACGTCAGGGAACAGCCCTGGTCAGCCAGACTGGTAAGGGTGTGTGGAGCAGGAGGATGTTTGTTTCAGCAAGATGAGCTGGATGAGGACCTTGTCAAAATGCAGCGAGCACCAAGCTGGACCAGTTGGCAAGCCAGGGACCATGGAGCAGGTAAGAGGGCCTGGGATCCGGGCAGGGGTGTCAGACAGCCGGGGAGGCCGTGCCTGTACGCGGGGATCTGCAGCTGTGCATGTGCTTGTGAGTGTGGCGGGGGTGGTGTGTGTGTGTGGGGGGGGGGGGGGTGTGCTTTCTCTGGCGAGCCTCAGCCCTGGCAGCTGAAGGGGAGAAGGCAACTTGGCTGTTGGTACGGGTGTGAGTCCTATACAGAGGTGCTGCTGAAGTGCAGCCATGTGCACTGGCCTGGGATGGAGATGCTGGGTCCCCGGGCTGTGGCTGGGCAGGAGGATGGGCAGCCCCAAAGCTGCAGAGCGGTTCTGGTAACATCCATTCATGCTACCTGAGTTGCACAGCCTGACACAGAGATTAGTCAGACATGGTGATGTTAGAAATGTATGCCAGAAGAGACACTTTTTTAAAATATCCACCAGCAATACCTTGCATATATCTTACCAGAGGGGAAAAGCTGAGTGGTATCACCTATGACAAGAACACTGTGTTTCAATTTGCCAAACACTCAAGCCTCCTCCTCAAACCCTAGCTCCTGACAAGAAGAAAAGCCACTAAATTACCTTTGTTTCCTGTATTTTTTTTTTGAACGTCACACAAGCATCAATAAACTGTGCCCCAAGCAACCTCTCTCTTTGTAGAGAGATGCTGCCCGAGTACAGTCATTTGGGAAATCTGTCCATGAATACCCAATGGTTTAGATTATCCCAGGAGTTACTTTTACCATAATGCCATTGCTCCCTTGAATATGCTCTCTCTTGAGTTGTCCTGCTGCTACCTAAAATTTCTGCAGGTTGTACCACAGAAGGAGAGGAGGAGGAAAGGCACAGAAGGAAGGGTCTCTCATGACCCACCTGGAGAGTGGTGAGAGCCGTGGAGGGAATAGAAAGGAGCCGTGGGCATGGAGGGGAGCAAGAGAGCCCACGCCCATGCAGAGAAGCCACGAGTGCAAGGGCAAGTGCAAGGGATTCATTACAGCTTTCTGACCAAAGAATGCTCCAAGGTAATTGGGAATATCAGTCAAGGCAGGCTTTTTTGTCCCAGCTACAGTAAAGTGAGGTTTGCCTGTTCATTTTACTAGACAGCCTAGTTTTGAACCAGAATGACCATGTTTCTGCAGCTCTAATAAAGAGTATGCTATAGTAATTATTATTAATACAATTATCATACTAAATAACAAAATTCTGATTATTGTGGAATCTGAGGAGGTTGGCACCGGCCATGGAGAAATGGTCATGGAAAAGTACTCCATTACAGAAGCCCATTTCCATGAAGGAGTAATAAAAAGCCTCTGACGAGAAACTGTATGATATAATTTGAGGTCTTTGTAACACATCAGCTTCTTATTCCCACATCTCTGGCAAACTGCCACCTCTCTATATACATAATTTTGTATAATAACTATTATTTCAAAGAATGAATTACTACGTCAAGAAGTCTTCTCTACTCTTTACTATGATTCCCTGGCATGTTTTGTTGTTAGTAAGTCCCATATCACACGCAGCATTTTAAAACGGTTTGTAGGAGAAAGCTTTTCATAGCCCCCAAGTACGATGCAAAAACTAATTTGCCCTTACACATACAGTTTCCAGCTGCTAACTTCTCATTGCACAGCCGCGTGTCCCTGGAAACAGACATCACATTAGATGTGTTCTCCTCTGTACCCAAGAGAGCTCACTGCCAGCTATTTCCATCAAATTAATTAAATTGCCTTCATTTCTTTTAACTTTTGCCAGTAAAGCATGGGGTATGCCTTCAAGCAGGGGCGATTTTGTTTCTTATACTTCTAAAATCTGTTTTGAATAACCATGTATGTTTTCATTAAACATACCAAAGTCAAATCCTTTAAATGGTCTATTAAGATGTTGGTCTCAGTGATGATTTGCATAATTAACTACAGGTAAAATAGAATGGCTTTATTGTCTATGTCACATTGGGCTTGGTCCCCTTCCTCTTTTTTTGTGAAATACAGTATGCAGGAATATCAAATCTAGTTTTTTCATACCATTCACTGTATCTCTACCTTTTTTATGTATAACACATAATTCCTCATCATGCAGAATTAAGCTATTATATTCCAATCTTCGATGGCATCATAGTTTGTTAATTTCTGTTCTAGAATGACTATACTTTGCGGAGATGGTTTCACTGAGCCATTCACAACAATATACGAGTCTTTTTCTTGAATAGCTAAAGAAAATTTGCTGCCATGGGATACGTAATATTCCTCTTGATACCTCATTCTGTATTGCTCATTCACCAGGTTCACCATGGCTAACTGAAATTCTTCAGCCTATTCTTACAATAATGAGGGGTGCATGATTTCACATTACATAAAACCACTGGAGCCACACGGTCAACTTCTTTTACTGTCTCTCCAATGAACATGCTAACAACTGTGCTGGAACCTGGCAGCACACCTACTATTGTTTTTGTTTTATTTTCTCTATTCTTTTCCTCTCTCGCAGCCTGTTTTTAATCAATGGCAGCCATATGCCTTCCAGGTTGCGATTACTTGGCTTCACGCGTAGTCTCCTGTGTGTGACATTATGCAAGTCTTTCTTCCAAGTCCAAATACATTTTAATCGACCAGCTCTTCCCTACCCACCATGCCGATGCCCTGAGAGACTCCGAGAGCAGATTGTGGAAATACTACGGGCCGCACTGGGCATTTCCAGTTCTGGAACTCAGCAACAATTGGGGCGGACGTCCTGCAGCACAGCCTGGGTTTACGATGACACTTCTCAAGCGTTTCATTGTTACTGGAAAGCAGTAATTAATTCACTCTCCAAGATTCAATTTTGGAGTTTTAGAAAGCAGGCATTCTTTACTACAGCGCCAGACACACAGAGGATGGCTCCTCCTAATGTGTGTGTGTGAAAACAAAATTAACAAGCATTTATACCACCTTAATCATACATATTCATTGCATTTTTATAAGATCTTTATCATATTCCTAACTCTTCCAGGAACTCATTAGCATGTGTTAATGTCTCTTGCACAAGACTGGTGGAGTCTTTAGGTGGTTGTCGAGGGTCTTTCGATGAAGGCTCGTAGTCTTCACTGCGTTTACCAGTTGACCCTTACTTCTGCGCAAACTCAATCCTGTGGTCACGTACATTTTGTCCTCCAAGGCTGGCCTGGTCCGGTTTTGTTGCTAATTTGCAGCTTCCTTATGTTTCTTTGCACCTGCTATTACGAGGCCGAACCGTCTCAAGTAAGATTATTTATGAGTTCCTCATCCTACAGGTATTCTAACTACTCCTCAAAAGATCCGTATTCATTCAGCAGCACAACAGTTGAAACAACTTAAACTGATCTTCATCATCCCATTCCACAAATACCTACTTTCTAATAATCTTAGCTCACGGGTATCATCATCACGATGGCCGTAGCGTCAAGCCCTTTTGGGAAACAGCGACTCAGCCCCAACCCTCCGCCCCCTTTCCCTCGGCCGAACCTCTGCCGAGCGCCGGCCCGGCCACCGCGGCCTCCCACGGGCCCTCGCCCGCGGCCGTGGCGCGCCCGCCTGCGACGCTGCTACCTCATTCCGTGCAAACGCTACCGCCGGGCGAGTCAGCGCCCCGCGTGAACCTTAAACGCTTTAACAGTCATCTCCGAGGGCGGGCCGGGATCACTGGTTCGGAGGCGGAAAAGCCGGAGGAAGCGGCGCCGGGCGTTGCACGGGGGCAGACGTCATCGGCGCCTCCAGCCACGTAACGCCCAAACGCTCCTGCACGTGCCGGCAGCCCGAGGCGCGTAACTCATCCTGTCACCAGCTAAGCCGCGCCGTGGCCCGGCCCCAAACTTTAAGGGAGCGCATCCCGTTCCCCCCCCCACACACACACACCGGGTGCGTCCCCTCCGCTGCCAGGCCCGCAGCGGCCGGACCCCGCGGGGACGCGGTGGCCTCTCGGGCGGCCCTTCCCCGCCCCCCCCCCCACCAAACCGCCCTGCCCGGGGGGGGAGCGGCGGGCGGTGGGAGGAGCGGCCCTGCCCCAGAGCCCTGTCAGCGCGGGAGGGAGGGGCCGGGGCGGGCGCCGGCGGGGTGCGCGGCCGGGGCCCGGGCCCCCGGAGCGAGCGGCCGGCCGGGATGAGGTGCGGGAAGATGGCGGCAGCGCCGCCGCCGCCAGCCGGAGCGGCGGGCGCTTGGGGCGGCGTGCGGCGGCGCTGCCAGCGGCTGCTCTACTGGGTGCCGGTGCTCTTCATCTCCAGCATCCTCTGCTGGTCCTACTACGCCTATGTCACCCAGCTCTGCCTCCGTGAGTGCCGCCGCGGCGGGGCCGGGGGGGGCGCCGACGGGCTCCCGCGGGACGGGGGTGGGCGCCGCCGCCCCTGCCCGGGCCGGGGGAGCGCGGCCGCCCGCGACCACCGGGACGGCGGGGGCCGAGGCGGAGGCGTTATCTGGCGTTTGCCGGGGCCGCCCCTGGCCGCCGCCGCCACGCCCGCGGGCCGGGGCCGGGGCCGGGGCCGGGGCCGGGGCCGCGCCGCAGCGTGCGCTGGGATGCGCTGGAGGCGCGACCCACCCCGCAGCCCGGTGTCCGTCCGTCCGTCCGTCCGCCCCCCCCCCCCCCACGATCCGGCCGTGGTCCGGCCGTCCCTCCCCCCGGGCTTCTCATGGGCGTGAGTTTTCCTCCCGTGGCGTGCACAGCGTGTGGCACCCCGGCCCTGAAGCGCGGGACCTGGAGAGTCCCTGGGCCGGCAGCAAGAGCAAAGTTAGCGGTCCCTTTGCTTTCCCTCTGCGTGACAGCACGCGTACATACATATTTGTAAAGCCAGTGTTTTCTGTCAGCTAACATGGAAGAGGGAACAGAAAATCCCCGAGTCTGCCCGCGCCACTCTTCAGTCATCTAGAAAATGCCCGGCTGTCACAACTTCTTGGCCCGCCTTAGGCATCCGCAGCCTGCGATGCATTCGGAAGTCATCCTGGCCATGCACCTTGGCTCTTCCCTAGTGTTAGGCAAATAATTAATCATATACTGGAGGCTGAGTGTGATCTGAGTGTGCGAATTTGAATAGTCGAGTCAGAAGGATTCATTAAACGACCACCTCGCTAGGCTTACTTGAATTAATTTAAGTTTGTGTTGCAGTATATCTTGTAGAAAATAATTTAATGTACGGTGTACTGATGTTTCATGAACAGTATTATAATAATGGCACAAAGGAGTACAAATTAGCAGTTGTATCCTCTTTCCCCTTTGCTGTAGGTGAGATTCATAGTGGCCGTTGGTCATTTAGCGTCTGTTTAAGGAACAGCAGCTCAAGGAAAATACCCAACTCAAGCTGAGTGCGTTTATATACCTATATAACTTTGCCAGACTTCAGCTGTTCGTGTTGAAAATCTCAGCAGTCTGGTACCTAATTATGGAATCTTCTTAAAAAAATTTTTCTAACTGTAGACTGTGATAAAATCTTTGCCTGCAGCTACTTGGTTGAGCAGTTGAGACATAAAGCAAAAAATGATTGCCAGGCCTAGCACCTCTGTTTTGGAGGGTGGTATCAAGACTTGGTGTGAGTCCTGTAGTGGAGGTGGGCTTTTTGCATCTTTTTCTCACTAATAGCATTCAAATCTGTTACTTTTAATTGCTGCCCTTCAATTAGAAATTGGGACTTGAGTTGCTGTGCCCTCACGAGAGGAAGACTGAAGTGTCTACCTCCAGCGCAAGAAAGCAAATTGTCTGGAAGGTTGTGGGAGAAGGTGACTAAGGGAGCCTGGAAAGTGGAGCTGTAAGCTGACACGAGGAGGGCAAGTGTGTTTCAGGGGAAAGAGACCCTATAGTTAACATCTGTCCTGATCTACACAGCTCCATGATGCTTACACAGTACAGTAGGCTTGATTCAGGCACTACTGTTTGATCTACTGTATTTTTTCTTCTGTGTAATTCTGTATAACAGAGAAAGATTGAGTTTTAACTTACCTGAAAACAGGTACCTCTTAAGGAAATGGCATGCTTGAAACTTGCTTCAAACTATGAGCTATGGTACCATAATTCCTTGAGAACTGCTCAGAGGAAGAGGTCAGCAATACAAGGGGAGGAAGAGGGAATCCTGGGGCTCTGCTAAAACATCTTTTACTGAATTCCTCTCTATGGACAAAGGTGATTTTTTTTTTTTTTTTTTTTTTTTTTTTGTTTACCCCACCACCATCCTCCCTTCCCCATTCTGCCTGGCTTCATAGTTTTGAATTCAGCATAATAGTTGTCTGCGACTTCTGCTAATTCCATCTTTTATCTATATCTGGATGTTTTCCCTTGTTTTTGGCATATTAAGATAAAATAAACTTATGTCTTGTCTTACTAATGAATATTTAGTGTAAACAACAGAAGGAATAGCTAACAACTCAGAACGAAAGCCAACAGCAGGAAAAGACTGTAAGCATTTCAGCGCTTTGAAGCCAGCCTGTCTACTCAGTGCATCTTTTAATCCTGCAGCACTGACTGCTAAAGGGCGTATTTAGCTGCTTATTTTACTGCCTTTACTGTCATTGATGATGACAACAATGTACAGGGAACAGCATTAACCATTGTGCAGTAGGACTTTGCAAGGACTTTGCACAGTTTTAAGTGGTTTATTTGAGCTTTCAGTAATGAGAAACTGTCTCAAATGTATTTTGAATGTTTTTTGTGATTTCACCAGAATGTTGTAGGAGGGACATTATTTTAATTTTTTTTTTTTTTTAAGAAAAAGTCTACTGGGATGATCCCTTTCATGGGTAAAGCTGAGTAGTTACATTATTGAGTAACATTTTGGAAACAAGGTTTTAAAAACAGAGAAAGGAATCCACAACTTTTAACTGTAGTATTACCATGTCTAGAGTTCTGTCTCTTTTATTGGTGGATTCACTTAAGTGCTCACCCTGCTTTAACCTTTAAGAAGGAGAAAAGGTATTGAACACTAGCAAATGGTTATCTTCTTCATGCTGGTTATAGAATACTGGAATTGAATGTGTAGATGAATTGGGTTTAAAGCACCTTAACTAAAAATTGCTTCTCTCTAAACCAGTTCCATTGTCTTGATTTTGCTAGCACTGTCATCTCACAACCCCTGTCTGGCAGTAGTAGTTTTTTTTTTTTCCCCCAGATAACTTCCTTTGTGTTTAAAATTAATGAGCCTTTAAGTATTCCTTCCCTTAAAAAAGTTTGAGTGTGTTTATGAAAATCTGAGGGTTACAGAATTATTGTTCCTCCTCTAAAAAAGATGAGGCAATGTACAATGAGTACACTGGACTTCGATAGCTGAAGCTACTGAAATTTCAACTTAGGACATATGGAACAACAGTAACATGAAGTGCAAACAGAAATATTTCTCCCAGCTCCTGCATCCATGTGTCTGTACTCAGAAAGTATGTATTGAATTCAGTAAACTGTATGCGAAGAAAATAATTATTCTTATGTCTTCCTTCTTAAGTGTATCTAACTTGGGTTAGTAGAAGTATAAGGGACTTAGAGTAGTTATCCACGCCATGCTTTGGGTAAGGCAGAACCAGTAGTTATTTGCAGTTTCTGATAGCTATTTGTCAGAAATGCTCTTGACAAACTCAGATGTTGAGATCCCTTCCGTCCCCTCCCCTCTTTTTTTTTTTTTTCCCTTTTTTTTTGTTTTGTTTTCTTGCCAGTTTGTAATTTGGAGTTCCATATAAGAAGGAAAGTGTGAAGCTTTGACAGTTCTGTGACAGATATTTTTAGTGAAAATATCAGCTGTGTTGATGAAAGGGTTATCCAATAAATAGAAATCCATTCTGTATGTTCAGTTTTGACTGATTTTTACGTGTCACTGATTTTAATTCTAAAGATAATGCTCTGGCTCAGGGAATCCTGTCAGAAAATGTGGCTTGAACTTGTAACTTTGAAGAAGGAAAATAGATTTGCCGTGGAACATAGAAATGATCAATAAGCATTTCCTGACATCTTCGGTGAAGGGAAAGGGAGGCATTACTCCAACCACCTGGTGAGTGGTTTGCCTGATTTGGAAAAGAACAAGGGACTTCAGCACAGTTGAAGAGGGGGACAGCAAGACATCAGTAGTAGAGTCAGGAGAGCTCATAAACTCTATCTTTGTTTTTGGAGTAGGATCTGTCCACAACTACCTTCAGTATGGAACAGAAAAACATGGAATGACATCCAGCTGCTAAAGATGTTAATGGTCATGAAAGATTTCTGCTGGAGGATCAGATTGATTAGTGCTGAATTGAGGTTTTTCACTCTGTGTAACATCAGTGGAATGGAATTATAGCAGGGTAAAAATCTGCTTAATTCATCACAGTTTAGAGGCAGAATTAATGCGTGCCCTGTAGGCATGGCACAGTGTCATCAGGGGATCAGAAGCGGCAGAAAATACAAAGATAGAAGCTGAATGCATAAAAAAAAAAAAAAAAAAGAAAGAAAGAAAAATAAGTGAGGCCCAAGATTTGGTCAGCTGGATTTGAGCCCTTTGCTCAGTATGTTCTCCGGATAGATCAAAGCATTTATGGTACTCACTGCTTATGTCTTGTAATCATCTACAGCTTACATTTGGCTATAGAAATACAAGTACATTGTAACATTGCATTTGGCTGTTGTCAAATACAAGTTAAATACCCTGTCTATACATTGGCTACTAAGGTAGCAAAGGACTTCCGTCAAAGCAGATTTATATTTTTATACCGTATTTTGCAAACACCACATTTTTTCCTCATCTGAGATCCCTGGTTACTTTCAGAGAAGTTTCAAAACTGTCAGCTGAAGTAAAATTTGTTTCTGAATTTCAGCCAGCAGTACTCCTGTGCGTTTTTTAAATTTGATTTGATTTCTTTCTCAGACTTTCAGAGGCAGCTGCCATTTTCCATTTCTGAAATGGAATTGAAGTATGTGTTAAGTATGACTGGTTATCTCTCTGTGTAGTGCCTAGTGTGCTACCTGTATGTTTTGTGCCTTGAAATTTAAGTCACAGCTTTTAAGTTGAAAACATAAGGTCTGTGGTGAAGATAGAATTATTAGATAAGATTGTGTTTTCAGTTAAAGATTTAACACTGCTTGTTATATAATAGCTTGAATAGATGTATTTGTCAAGGTATACTCTTTGTTTGCTAAACAGGATCTGATCATATCACTTCTGTAGAAATAATCTTCACTCTTCAGATAGTCCTTGTGACTTGGAAAGTAAATGGGAAGTTTGTAAAGATGAAAGTTAGATCAATTCTTGGGCATACTCAAATCAAAATCAATGGGTTTGTGACCTTACCTAAAACGATATCAGATAGCACCTTGCTGCTGGGTAGGTGGAC